TTCAAAGGGTAAAAATCGAAAATCACATTAAGGATACAATACATTATCAGGTTTCATGCCAAGTATCGAGACCTCTCTCTCATCTGGAGACAGGGCGATTACTGGAATTGATGCACCAGGTTCAGCACGAACCCGTATACACAATGAGGTGCCGTTTCGATGGACTGACAACAAGAATCCTAAACATCTTTATGTGGGATATTGGCACAAACCACAGAGTAGCAATTCGCCGAAAACTACCAATCACACTTTACTATGTAGGATCCTTTGGGCTCAGAACAGTCCCTGGAGGGATTCTAGATGTTCATCAGGCTTGTCTGGCAACGCCCAAATTTGCGAGTAAATCTCCACTGCTCGAAAGGGGTTTACCCTGAGATTCCAAGTAGCCAATCATTATTGGGTCCATTAAGCCCCCAGCGTTAGGGGTTCCGGTTCAAACGTCCTCAGACCTTTCAGGGACCGCTGCTTGTCGCGCATGTGTGCTCTTCCCCGGTTCGCAGACCCCTCTGCTGTCCTGGCGAGAATGCTGACCTGCGGACAGACAAAGGATGATTGATATAGCGGCCTTGCTTAACGGTTAATTAGACTCGGGCTCTAGGGTAGAATATCAGATGAATATACATAGGGACTATGGGAAATATTGCCACTAGCAAGCCAGAAGCCCATATTCAAAGTAACCCTATCGACGGAATATTGACTAGCATGATCCGTATTCAGGCTGGTGGAATCTTTAGCATTACAATCGCGAGACGAAGGACTGCTGAAGAAACTAGCAGAAAACAAACATACAATTCTTCATCAATCTAGATCTCACAACTCGACATAGCATATGCACCCCTGTTCCAGAGAAGACAGCTGAATAACTGAGGCCGGACTCTTTCATGTCCCCTTAACCCTATGACCTGGCTCAACCTTGGACATTCAATTGTTATCTGTTCAGATCCATGTGGTGTCGACAAGAGTAGACCTGAGGCCGCAAATTGTGTGGTGCTGGGCTTGCGGGCAGGATGTTCGGATAAACAACAAAGCGATCTGAAACTCTGCACGTCTCAACAAAAAACCAGAATCTGTGCCGCCAGACACAGGCCAAAACGTAAGGAGATAGCCCATCACACTCGCGTCAGGTAATCAGCACACCTAAGACCGAGGAAACGTATGTACTTGTAACAGTTCCTTCCAACAGACGTTTACGCAGACCGACATCCTGTAGCATACTGTACTTTGTCATGGCAAACCACCACATGAGTGTAGGGTCATGCGGTTTGAGGTCTTAGGGATAACCGCTTTAGCTTTAAGCGTTCCGACAGATTGGGGCTTTAGAGTTTAAGGCGGTCACGGGGTTGAGGCTTTGCATCTTCAACATGAGAAGGTCCACGTGTCCAACTACAAGTCTGCGCAGCACGCTGCTTCTCTCCATGCTTGGGGTTGAGGGTAGGAAAAGATGTAAGGCTTTGGGGTACTACTTACATACACTACACTTCGTCAAGATATGTCATGCCGCAAAACACCGTAACAATTATCTTGCAATGTTATACACCTTACTGCACGGGAACATCTGATATCGTAACGCAGTAAAAACACGTAAAGCAATGCCAAGTTACACTTGATCAACTACTACACTATAGTCCATAGCCTTCAAGAAGACACAACATGCAGGTCACGACAACCCGCAATGAGGTACATGAACACCCTATGGCCTTTCCGCACTGCGTGTTCTCGCAGATGCGGAGGTCTTGGGGAGAGACTTCGTCGCGTCGGAGCTTGACGTAGAAATCTTCCTGGCGAAGGTTCTATAGGGTATCGAAAATAGTATGTCAAAGGGTCGGATACAGGGGCCTTCATGATCACTAGAGCAGGTACTCGGGTACTGCACAATGCTACCAGGTCGTCGGGAAGAGCGCTCTCACCCCCGACCCCTGCGACGCCAAGCCCCAAACCAAACAAAATCCCAAAGAAGCCAAGGTATTACGACAATAGTAGTATCTTCAAGACCCTCAACACTACAGGCCATGAACGTCCAAGGTGCCCTGGCGAGATCCGCTGATCTGCACGGACCTCCGGGATGGTCAGGCGCGAAAGGAGCAAGACACCTTTAGGTACTCGTATGCATGTATGCGTGCGTGCATGCCTCTATGCATGTTTGTAGGTGTATGAGTATGAATGTATCAAGTTACCAATAAAACTTATGACGATACTGCTGGTAGAAGATATGAACTCTAGTACCAATGACTGTTTTCACTCTTCGTACGATGCTATTCTTCCTACCAGTGCCGTTATTTAATCCTGTTCTTCTAGAAACTATGACCATCGCTATCGTTCAGATTACGCATTAGTGCTCGTAATTGTATAGTACTAGTACGAGTATGAGTAGTATGAGTAGTCTGAGTAGTCTGAGTACTAGGACAAGCGCTAGACCAAGTACTAATATTAATATTCGTACGAGAATTAGTATGAGAGTATGAATATTAGTATTATAACTAGTATTATGACCAGAATTATAAGTAGTAGTAGTAGTAGTAGTAGTAAGTAGTAGTAGTAGTAGTAGTAGTAGTAGTAGTAGTAGTAGTAGTAGTAGTAGTAGTAGTAGTAGTAGTAGTAGTAGTAGTAGTAGTAGTAGTAGTAGTAGTAGTAGTAGTAGTAGTAGTAGTAGTAGTAGTAGTAGTAGTAGTAGTAGTAGTAGTAGTAGTAGTAGTAGTAGTAGTAGTAGTAGTAGTAGTAGTAGTAGTAGTAGTAGTAGTAGTAGTAGTAGTAGTAGTAGTAGTACTAGTACTAGTACTAGTAGTAGTAGTAGTAGTACTAGTACGAGTAAGAGTAGGAGTAGCAGTAGCAGTAGGAGTAGGAGTAGGAGTAGGGGAAGGGGGAAGGGGTCAGGGTAGGACCAGGACTAGAAATAGGACTGGGACTAGGACCAGGAGTAGTAGTAGTAGTAGCAGTAGCAGTAGTAGTAGTAGTAGTAGTAGTAGTAGGAGTAGTAGTAGTAGTAGGAATAGTAGTAGTAGTAGTAGTAGTAGTAGTAGTAGTAGTAGTAGTAGTAGTACGAGTAGCAGTAGTAGTAGTAGTAGCAATAGTAGTAGTAGTAGCAGTAGTAGCAGTAGTAGTAGTATTAGTAGCAGTAGCAGTAACAGTAGCAGTAGCAGTAGCAGTAGCAGTAGCAGTAGCAATAGCAGTAGTAGTAGTAGTAGTAGTACTAGTAGTAGAAGTAGTAGTAGAAGTAGTAGTAGTAGTAGTACTAGCCGGAAGTAGTACTAGTAGTAGCAGTAGTAGTAGTAGTAGTAGTAGTAGTAGTACTAGTAGTAGTAGTAGTAGTAGTAGTAGTAGTAGTAGTCGTCGTTGTGGTATTTCGTAGTGGCGGCCTACACGGTCAAGGGAACTTCTCGCTTCTCCGCAACGCTGCAACAGCGCTTGCGTGAGCTAGGTTCTCGTCCTCCATTGGGGAACCTGGAAGACTAGTTCGTAAGCATGGCACAGCCTCCTGAGCTGAGACACAGTCTCTGATAACTTCTTCTCACAACTTGGTGTCATAACGATGGAATGCCGGAAAGTGTAGAGCGAGCCTGCAAAGCTGTGGATTCGAGAACACTGCATCCCTTCAGGATCTCTTGGCTCTAATTTGTCAGGCATACCTTCTGAGCACTCCGCCTGGGTTCATGGAGGATGCGATTGTTCAGCGGATCTTCCACTACCTGACGCCGATGTTCCTCAGCCTCGACTTCTACTTGCCACTGACAGACCTGGACAGGGAAGCCCTCGCGGAACCGAACAATCAGTCAAGATCCCTGACACTGGGCATCACCGCCAGGAACAGTATGGCAGCGGCCCATGCGGAGCTACAGAAAACGCTCCAGGAGTGCTTCGAGCACTGGCCAGCCCTGACTATTACTACTTCTCACCCCTCGACAGATCCCGATACGCAGGAAATGCACTTTGTCTACGAAGTGCTGCAGCCACGCCTCATTCAGGTCTGCCGGCTCGCCACCATCAACCGCACCTGGCATGACCTAATGACCAGCATGATATCTGGACAGGCCCGCATCAATACGGTTGAACTTCTGGTGGCCATGTCGCGCCTGCGAAAGTCTGGCTCAGTGTCGGTTCGCGAGGGCAAGGACACCTTCATCCTCCCCTTCTCCATGGCCTTCCGCTTGCCGGTGGAGATTCTTTCCTCCCCCCTGGTTCGCACTATCCCTGCGGCCGGCTATCGCGCTTCGGACTTCAATGCCTGGCATGCGCACCTTTTTGACATCTACGACGCCCTGCAGACTGAGGATGCGCATCAGGACTGATCAGCATTTGTTGTCTAAGATGCAGCTACCAGCAGCGCACAGCGCCCTAAAACTGACAAAAGGGCACAGCCCACGGTCACGTAGCAGAACGGAAGGGAGAGTGGCGGAGGAAAAAGCCATTATACAGTGAGTCGTCTGTTTCTGCCAAGTCGTATTCTGACAGTTGGCTCTCAGAGCAATGCTAACTTTCATAGACGGGTTCTCCCTGCGCCATGCTCTGATACATCTTCTACCTGGGGTACTCATCCTTGATTTCTACGACGCCTCGGCCAACCCCAATTCCTACTGGAATGACCTTGACCTGCTGTATGACGAAGCTCGAGAGGCTCGTTCGCGGTTACAGGAGTTTCTCCTCAGATGGGCAAGAGCAAGCCTCTTCTCGCAGTACTCCGTCATTGGTAACACTATCAAGCTTGATCACAAAGGAGTGCACGCTCAGCTTGGGATTGTCAATCCGAATCTTCTAATGGCCACTCGGCTTGCGGCGGTCTGCCGGGCGTGGTGCTCCGAAATTGCTCGTCTCCTAGATGGCAAGCCCTGGATAGGGGTGTGGAGAGCATACTTCCAACTACGCAAGAAAGGTACAGGAGTCTTCATTGAAGTTCGGCCAGATCAAGTTGGCATCCTTTCGAGAGAGGCCCTGAGCATTCACTATGATCAGGCTGACTTCATTCCGACTTTTGTTCTGCGAAGTCCACTCTAGGCAAGATGGCACAGCCTCCTTCCCCATGGTCACAGACCATGAGACGCACCTGTGCCGCATCCAAAAAGCATAAAGGATTGCAGTGCCAGCCCACCCTTGGCGAATACTCTTGCAGTCTCTTTTGGGCTAGCAGTTCAGCTAGAGCCTACGCAGATGACTACCGTCCTCTGCACCGAATCATGTCGCCGCGCCCTCTCCTTTATCCTCCCCGGTGCTGTCATCGTGGACTTCTATTCAGCTTCCGGATTAGACAGGGAGTTGCTGGAGATTGACCCCACCGCACATGTGCCGCCCAGCACTTTACTCCCCATCCTCCAGCTTAGGGACGAGATGCAAGCGCAAGCACGCCTCTGGGCCTTCAGCCGCCCCTACGACGGCGTTGCAATATTCGAGCAAAGATACATAGACGTAGACTACGACCGACAGGGAGCTCATGTCAGGCTCGCGATACTACATCCAGACTTGCTGGTGACCATGTCCATGGCGACTGTTTGCAGAGCCTGGTACAGTGCCGTGCTCCCCCTGGTCCAGTACAAGCCCTTTGTCAACACCTGGCGCACGGCCAGAGCAGCAATGATTCTCGACATACGCGCCATGGTACAGTCCTTTGACACACCCCAGAGGTACCTCGCAACTGAAGAGATCATCATTCATATCCAGCATCGCCATCATGTTGTGGTACAGAAGATCCTCAATCCCCTTGGCCCCTTCGGGTATGCTGATGCAGCCGGCAGGGACGAAGAGGTCCACTGGGCTCATACTGACCATAACTACGGCTATCTCCCCTGAGCTCGCTCGCAGCCCATGGCTACAGTCATGTATCTCAAATTAGGAATATGGCACAGCCTCCTCCCAGGTGTGGCACAGCCACTCGTCTTGTCTTTGCACTAACAGAGTAAGGCTACCTACCTGCCAGGAGAAAATATGATGCACCTGACCGCAAGCCTGCCGGCAAGCTACAGCTGCACTGGTCGCTCAGAATCAGTTTCCTTTGCATACTGAGGTCCAGGGCGACACGTCATGGCACTTGCATCTCTTGCTCGAGTGCCCTCAGCTGTTGTTGCTTTTTGTTAGACAGTCAGTGAAGCTCTTGCCTGCCAGCTGGTCATGTGTCATCAGCAATGCTGTACCTGCATACCGCAGCTGTCAGGAGCAACTGCTTGCACCCGTAGGCATAAACCCTCGGATGCCCTCTCTAGGATCACTTCTTCATCAGATATGACAGTTGGCAGAAGGTAGAACGTGTTCCTGAAGAGAATCGGTGACTTCAGCAGAGAGCACAGCTCACCTTTGGCCGCGTGTCACAGACTCGATCTGGCCCAGCAGCTCTCTGGCTGCGACCATGGACGCCCCTCCTAGTTTGGGGCCGTTTCTGGTGCTTAGCGACAGCACCCTGCAGCACATGCTACGGGGACACACGTATGGAGTATTCCCCCTGCTGACGGGACAGGTCTTAAGTTGCCCAGGCGCCGCCCTCAACATCTCGGCCAGCAGCGTCCCCTCCATCATGGAACTCCTTCACTGGCAATTTGGGCTCTTTGGGCCGCTCCGGTTCAAAGCAGCGGTCCAGAGTCATGAGGTGGCCTCCATCTTGGAGCATCACCTCGATGGGCAAATCAATGTCCGCTTCATTCCCTTGTCTCGAAGCTTGCGCCCTGAGAAGCAAGTCAATTATGATTACCTTATAGACGGTAGAGTCCAGTACGGCTTTGCGGACAAAAACCTGCAAAATCAGGAAATCATGGATTTGGCACTTCTACCTGGAGTAGGAGGCGTAGAATGGCTCTACAACTCCAAAAACCTCCATTTCAGACCAGAGGTTGCAGACATCGTTATCCCGGCGCTCGTCACCAGAGCCATTGAGGAAATGCGCAACACACCAGGCTTGCCTATCCTTGTGATTGCAGGATGGAACGCTCGCCAGCAAGACATGCATGTCGAAATGCTGGCCGCCCAAGCACTGTCGCAGTGCCGCACTGTGAGAGACCTCTCAGAAGTGGCCATGCAATATGGACACGGGCCCTGGGGCATGCGCTTTCAGGCGGCTCCTGTTCCGCCGCTTCTCTTCCAGACTTACGTTCACGACGAAAAGCCGGAGCCTGCGCAAGTTGCAGCCAAGATGTTCGCGGGTTCTACCCGCAAATTTTGTGATGATGAAGTTCTTCGAGCCACCCTGGTGCAACTTGCAGGGAAATATGGCTCCAATCTGCTGGACCGCCTCAATCAGCCAGCCCACCGGGCTGACGTCTTCCGCTACGTTTACCACTACCAACACGGAGGCATCTATGTGGATATTAAATGTGGCTTTGTGGTACCTTGGGAGCAGGTACTGAAACTCATGGCAGCAGATTGGAGCACAGCTCACTCCAACAAGGCAGGTGAAGTGGGTCACAGACCCTCCCCACCTGGCCAACTCCCACAGGAGTTCATGGTCATGGCCATCGGAGTCAAAAAAGATCATATCTTTCAGGGCATCATCTATGGCAAGCCCCGACACCCTCTGATGAGGGAGGCCATACAGCACGCTTTCAGCCGCCAAGTACTGACGGCAAGGGCCAATCTGGACTATATGACTTTCTGCAAATTTCTATGGCAGACCTTGAGCCGGGATCTTGGCCATTCCCCTCAAATGCTGGAAATGGCAGAAGGGATTCCAGGAAGATCCCACCACAAAGGAGCGAACGAATCGCATGCTGCAGAGCCAAGTTCCAGACATCTCTCTGGAAATCCAGGTCGACACTAGGCCCATAGAGCACAGCTCACCTCAGCTGCCTAGGTCACAGACCACGGCTACTGCCACTGCGGCTCCTCCTCCTCCCACACAAGAGGAGATCGAAACGCACGTGGCTGACAGCATCCAGAACAACTCCTTTGCGGAGATTATGGCCACAGTCCGCGATACCCATCATTACAATCAAGATCTTACGGAGCAGGATGTGCTGGAACTTATCCCTCGCGGACTAGGACAAATGGAAGTTTCAGGATCCATGTGGTTATGCTGCCTGCACTGTCGGAAGCATAACCGTCGGGTTCAGTTCAGCACAGGCCACGGCCTCAAGAACCACTTTGTCACGCAAAAGCATGACCCTGTGTCACAGCCTGCAGCACAAGGCGACTGGTCGACCACTGCCCCTGTGCCTCATCCTCCTCCTCCCCCCAAGCCAACAATTCCGCATGAGATTCCTCTCCCGCCCAGCAGCACCCGCACTAAAGGGTCAGACAAAGCCGTTGGCTTTGAACCCCCGCCTTCCCCTCCCTGTCCCTTTACTTCCCCGGCGGCCGAGAAGGCGGCTTACAAGGAGAGCCAGGCGAAAGCACCAAAGGCGGCCCCCGCACTCCCGGTAAAGGCCCCACCGGCCACGGTGCCTATCTCGAGCCCCCAGCCTCCTGCTAGCTTCTCTTCGTCAGTGGCCGGCTCCCCCTCCAGCTATCCCTGCTTCCCCTGCCCCCCCACATCCCCCCAAGGCTGCCTCCCCTCCCCCTGCTCATGCAGCACAAGCCTCCCAGCGCTCCCTCACGCCTCCCCATCCCTCCTCCCGCCCCCCGTCAGCCTATGAACCCCCGGAGCGAAATGCTGAACCAGTTGGCTATATCCCACAACCAGCTCCACAAACGGTTGTTAAATACACGAGGCTGGAGCTGGCTCAATTGTTGAGCTCCCAGTCCCACCAGGACTGGATTCGAGCATTGGCTTCAATCAACATTCTGGTGGCTCCAGTCATTCTAGGAGGTCTCACCAACCAAGAGCAGCAGAACCTCTGGTCCACACGAGTGGAGGCTCTCAGCCAGGTGCCTCCGCTTTTTCAGCCATCAAGTTGGTCAAGACTCAGCCCGGCCTCACATGGGACACCGCCATGTCTGTGCGGCGAGTCCTCACCAGCGACGGACGAGTCACCATAGCCACAGGCTCAGGAGAAGCCTACCAGGAGCTGGATGCTCCCACAAAGGTGCATGGCCTAATCCATGCGTGCTTCAATAGGTTGTGGGACGAGGAGGAGTTCCAACGGCACTTTCCCACACGGATTGAGTTCAACATGATCGCTGCTACCATGATGACGGTCTACAACGAAACTGCAAAATCCGCTGGGCTCCCAGCTCGAATGTTCAGGGTTAAACCCAACAAAGATGCCTACTCCGTCATGAAGATGCGGATCCAGCATGACAAGGGGATCGAGGAGGACAGGCGCATGGCTAAATTGGCTGCAGCTGCTGCACCCAACAAGCGCCCGCAGGTGCAGGAGGCCGACACAGAGGGCAAACGCCAACGTGATGCCCCTTCATCTTCATCCTCGAGTCAGTGGGCCAGGCCGGCACGCTCCTCTCAGGAGGAAGACTGGGACTGGTGGCAACAGTGGTCCTGGCACGGCTACTATCAGCCTTCACAGCAGCAGTGGCCGTACGGTCACAGCCAATGATCCTAGGGCAATGTCACAGACTCCCCAAATCCCGTATGGCACAGCCTCTGGGAATTCGATGCTCTTCCGACGCTTCTGCAAATCTCTTCGGAAGTTGCAGTGCAGAGCGACCATCAGGGCAAAATGCAGGACTCTGCACTCTGCCTGAGCTGATTTGATCAGTCAGCCATCACAGCTGGACTCACTCAGCTATGCAGGTACGCGATTGTGATCTTTACGGCCTTCTGTCATCAGCATGAGTAATCTGTGTGGGACGCCACGAGACGGATACTCCAGGTGTCGGCTTCATCTGAGGTACGGCCTAATTGCTGGGGCAGGTGCACAGATGGACGCGTCTGTTCACAATAAGGTGTCGGAGGAGGAAGCCTTAGTAACATCCTAGTAACTGAATAGGCTGAGCAGATTGAGAGGTCTGAGCGATGAATGTTAGCAGCAGTTTCACGAGTGCACGAGACCAAAGGCGCCCGCAAAGCGCAGAGCACGCTCGCGCAGCGTTCAATTGAAAAATAGTGATAGTAGTAGTAGTAGTAGTAGTAGTAGTAGTAGTAGTAGTAGTAGTAGTAGTCGTAGTAGTAGTAGTAGTAGTCGTAGTAGTAGTAGTAGTAGTAGTAGTGGTGGTGGTGGTGGTAGTAGTAGTAGTAGTAGTAGTAGTAGTAGTAGTAGTAGTAGTAGTATGGCTGCTGTTAGTATCATGGTTATTGTGATTATCGTCGTTACTATCCTGATGATGATGATGATGCTTGCTTTACTTGGTAATACCATTATGCGGCTTGTACGTACTATTTATTTGCTACTCTGAACTTGAGAACCAATGACAAAACTCTTTTCCAGTCGCCACATGTGTATACACATGTTACGTTTCTCTGTGTGTATGTATACATATTTGTACAAAGTATGTATATGTGTGTATATATATGATATGTGCGTAACTTGCTGCCTCTGTATTTCCAACGTATATAGGGGACCCTATTGAATGTCTGGGGTCGGGTTGGTTCGAACTGTGCTCACTGGGTGCTTTCGGCTTTGCCACCCCAAAACTCGTGCAACCTAGGCTTGAGGCGCCAGAGCGTGGGCCAAGTATTGCGCTTCCCTGGCTTTGGGGGTAAGGTCCGCTAGGTCATGCAGCACGTAGTGTCATCTTTGTGATGACGCTCTCTCTGCCGGCATGCAGGTGCAGAAGCACTCACCCCATTCCGGTATTGTCAAGTCCTTTGTGCATACATGCATTGCGGCCAGGTCTGCACGTACACATACACATAATGTACAGACAAACGATATTCTACACGTCTGGCACCAGGGCACGGCTTCGACACCGAGCACTCCGACGAGCTTGCCATGGAGTGCGAGCAAATCCTGAGATCATCTCGAATTCTGGGGTGTTCATGTGTTTAGACTGTATAGATGACTACACATGCGTAGCTACGCATATATATATATATATACATACATACATATATAAATGTATATGTGTTTACACGTGCGTTGTATAGATAGATAGATAGACAGATAGATACACGGATACATAGACGGATACAGGTATGGGGCAGAGACAGAGACATAAAGAAAGAGAGAGAGAGAGAGAGAGATAGATACACTTGGGGTTCGTATAGGTCGAAAAAATTGGGAAATATTTCCCCATTTGTCTTCAAACAAGTGAAACAAAACAAATATGTTCAAATCCCAGCATTGCCACAATTTCAAGTGGTTCAATTCTTTCAAACTCTCGGACCTCCCAATTCTTTCAGAAGTCCTTAATCCTGCCAGGATCCTTTCCCCGTTAAAAAGCCGAACGAAACGCACTGTATATAACCGTTTCATCTTTTCGGGACCCGTAACTGTTGAAACAGTTGATACAAGTCCAAAACAGGGCTCCAAAGGGAAACAACTGACACAACTAACACGCGTTGCCCAAAACTTTGTGATAGCTGAAATCCCGACCCCATTTCGAACGTCTCCGTTAGCTTCACCATTCGGAGCGCCTCAAAAATGTTGAAAGAATTGAAGCCTTCTACGATTACAACCATCAGTATCCGTCCAGCAGCAGTACTCCTGAAGCCTGCTACGTAACGGTTACTATCTATATTGCGGTCGTCACGGGTCGTCACGGCATCGTAGTATGGATGCCGCTCGTGTTGCAAGTAACAATTTCTGTGCCATTGCTTCCATCAACACTAATGCACTCACCACATAAAAAATCGCATGGTGACATTTCTGGTGCTGCTAGTGGGCCAGCACTGATCAGATCGTTACAGCAGCAAATCAAAAAAAATCATCTTACCGAAGATGACACAACCATGTGATGTCTGTTCTTGCAGAACAGAAACACAAACATGCCGGCGCCAGTGATCTACCATTTTGCAATAGCAGTACTTGGAACATCGCGAGAAATACGGCTGCAACAGGGAAACCCATCCAAAAAAAACTGTTTTCAATCAAAAAAAAACTTTCAGCGAAAATCAAAAAAACTTTTTCACCAATCAAAAAAACTTTTTTCCAATCGAAAAAAACTTTCTCCATGTGTGGTAGTAGTAGTAGTAGTAGTAGCAGTAGCAGTAGTAGTAGTAGTAGTAGCAGTAGCAGTAGCAGTAGTAGTAGTAGTAGTAGTAGTAGTAGTAGTAGTAGTAGTACTAGTAGTAGTAGTAGTAGTAGTAGTAGCAGTAGTAGTAGCAGCAGTAGTAGTAGTAGTAGTAGTAGTACTAGCCGGAAGTAGTACTAGTAGTAGCAGTAGTAGTAGTAGTAGTAGTAGTAATAGTAGTAGTAGTAGTAGTAGTAGTAGTAGTAGTAGTAGGAGTAGTAGGAGTAGGAGTAGGAGTAGTAGGAGTAGGAGTAGGAGTAGGAGTAGTAGTAGTAGTAGTAGTAGTAGTAGTAGTAGTAGTAGTAGTAGTAATTAGTAGTAGTAGTAGTAGTAGTACGGTGGATGGACAAAATCCTGCATTACCCATAATAAGGAATATACCATAATTCCCATAGTGTAGGGTCCTTAGGGTAATGCAGGATTTTGTCTATCAGCCGTAGTAGTAGTAGTAGTAGTAGTAGTTGTTGTTGTACCTTCCTTCCTGCCTTCCTTCCTGTCTGCCTGCCTGCCTTCCTTCCTTGCTGCCTTGCTTCCTTCCTTGCTTCCTGCCTTCATTCCTTCCTTTCTTCCTTCCTTCCTGCCTTCCTTCCTGTCTGCCTGCCTGCCTGCCTTCCTTCCTTGCTGCCTTGCTTCCTTCCTTGCTTCCTGCCTTCCGTCCTTCCTTCCTTCCTTCCTTCCTCGCCCTTTCTCCCCGCCTTCCTTCCTTCCTTCCTGCCTTCCCTCCTGCCATCCTTCCTTGCTGCCTTTCTTCCTGCCTTCCCTCCTTCCTTCCTTCCTTCCTTCCTGTCGTGCTTCCTTTAATAAGGGATTTTTTTTGATTGGAAAATAGTTTTTGTTGATTGAAAAAAAAATTGATTGAAAACCGGTTTTTTGTTGATTGGCATCCCGCTGCAACATCTCACTACCGACTCGAGGCTGCTGCAGTATCCTGGCGATTGTGGCGAAAATCTTCAACGGTGACTGCTTTCATATTGAATCCTGATGTGATTACGCATTTCATCATCTATACCCTCACGTCACGAGACAATATCAGAAAGCGGCTTTGCTAAAGTTGCCAAAGCTATATTCTCCATAGTATGACTACGAGGGAGGGAAAGACACCAGTAGTTTTGGAGTGGAGCTGCGCATTCATTTTGCGCATCAAGTTCGAAGTGCTTTCGAAAATACCTCAAGACGAAGACAGAGCCAAGATCGCAGGTAAGCCATTCAGCTTGATCCAATGGAGGCAGGACATTACTGAGATCGTCACCTCAGTGTGTTCAGGTCTTCTGCGGTGAAAACAAGTAGATGTGCTTGGCTATTGAGTTGACATGTCTCTTTTCTGTAGGCGGAGAACACAAGGTGGTAGATCCACGAAGGGGGTTACACACACACACACAGGTGTGTGTGTGTGTATACATATATATATATATATATATATATATATGGTATATACACCTACATACATGCATAAGTACATATATGAACATTTACAAATATATATATATATATATATATATATATACACGGGTTGAAAATGTAGAGAGAATGTTTATATTGTATATAACTGTATGTTACATATGAGTGTACAAACCTACCGCTTAGGCTTTTTCGAGCGGTTCCGTCGGACCGAAGATGCCGGTTTCAGAGCTCAAGGGGTCAAACTCCTAAACCTAAGCTCTAAGCCCTAGTTTTGGCCTGCACCCACTGAGAGAGGAGAACGTGTTTCGAGGACCAGGGCTTCTGTTGGCGTCACAACGCAAGGACTTCTGACTTCAACAATCACAAGCCGCAGCGACAGATAAATGCAAAAGCCCCGACTAGCAAACAATGCAGAATCCCGACTTGATCGGTGTTTGTTGGAAAGAATGTCCGACAGTGGGCCCGTGGAAGAAAAGCTGGCCCCGGTCCCGGAAGTAAAGGCTGGGCGGAGATTCACACTGGCACACTTACACATAACAAAACCGCAATAAGCCCTAAGTGCTGTGCTTCCTTAAAAAACATGGGTGTAACAAGTTTTAAGGCAATAAACCAGAGCCTCATTCCAATTGTTGAGCAACCAGCATACCTCAACAACCTGAGGCAGGAGCGTTTGTCAACAGGCATGGAATCTGAATTGGGAATGCAACTGTACTTAATGATGATCGGACTTAGCAGTTGGAGCTAGAAGCAATGGAACTATACATATGTGTTCTTGTTACACCCGTTTCGGTACCCTTCGCAATACTTGCTAAGTCCCATGATCCTCCATGTAGGCCGCAGGCAACTCATTCCAATCATTTCAGGGTTCGCAACAACGTCGTGGAACCCAAACACTGCCCCATCAAGATCGCTTGCTGGGTTCTTGTTGGGAGTTTAAATTAAACCACCATCTTGGGGATCCAAAGTAAACATTAGCGCAAGAACCCAGATTGCACGAGGCAAGCGTCTGCAAGCAGCTCCTGGACAGTCTCACGCTCCTGACAGTAGATATGCAGAAGCAGGACGACTCATGGCGTTCAAGCACACGGCCATGCAATGACGTAAAGAGACAAGGCAGTTCTATCATTAAACAACATGGCAGAACAGAAGTGCATCTTTGCCCAGAAACCCAGATTGAAACGGGGATGGGGGTTCAAGGTGAAGGAGAAGTATGGAACTGAACGGACCTGTGCGAATCGCAAGGACACGATTGTTGAGCAGCCGTTGAATTGCAATAAGCACCGAAGACCGGTGATCCCAACAAGCCCTTATCTCTTGCAAAAGTCACGTGACCGACATACATGATCAGCAGCTTCTGCTTTTGGGCCGCACAACCACAGGGTTTGAGAGGCTTGGAACGGAGTAGCGAACGGTCAAGGAATCCGACATGTCCTGCTCGTTGATCTGTGCCTGCCTCTCACTTGGTTCGAACTCTGCCGAATCCTGGGATGCCAGCCGTCTCTGCAATCTTAAAGTTTCTAAGGCACGTTGGAAATCTTAAAGACAGTGTACATGCAACTGATGATGGCAGATCCACGCGAAACCCTTCGAAGGAAGATAGAAACCTACTCCAGCAGCTTTGTGGTGCCATTCTAAATAGGTGAACGAACGGATAACCGCAAGCTGCATCTCATGCACGACCACTCTGGTGCCAACACCGTGAACATGTCAACCTAAAACTACGGCGCCAGTTCTTCAGACCCCGAATTCCGAAATCAAGGGTTGAAAACCAGACATATGAACGAGACAACATTGAACGACCAGTTCATGCAGCAACTTGAGTTTCTTCACCGGGGGAAACTTCGGAAACCCTGCAATTATTCTGGAACCCTGAAGTGCTGGTGCATGCGGCCACTCTAGTGAGGAAAATGAAAGGACAAGCCTTAGTTACAGGCTGATGACTGACTGACAAAGAGGACTTGCTTGTAACATGAAGCCCAGAAGCGCGCTCTACAATGAAAACCCAACAGCAGGCCAATCTCGAGTTTCATCGCATGAACACCTGCCAGAAACGGCACGAACTCCGTGGACATGTGTCTTTCCTGGAGACAGGCAGCTGTGAACAGCATTGGCGGTTCCGTCTCCGGAACTGTGATGTTTGCCATTGAGGTGAAACTTGGGACCAGAGGAGAGACACAATAGGTATCCAAGATCCTCTGCTCCAAAAGCAACAAACTGCTGCCTTGAGCCAAACATGCACAATGCTTATGCCTACATCGTTGCATCTGTCGTTCATTATGGTGTTGATGCTCTTTTTGAGTTTTAAGGCTTCCGCACTCACCTTTTTAGGATTTGGGGTGATGATGACATGATGATGATGATGATGATGTAGCGCACCCATCGTGGAACCTGTGACCGTATGTCACCCCGTACGTCATCTGGTACATGTTGCGATGCTACACAGAGCCACACATGAAATGACAAAAAATCAACCGGTTCCGATGTGGACAGTGGAACCTGTAGATGCTCCTCCCCGAATCTCTTCCCAAACTTCAGACAACATGACATTTCTTGCTCATGAGAACTGGCAACAAGTTCTTCTCCGCTCTTGGCTGCAGAAGAGCCTTTGAAAGGAGTAGGCGAATGCCTATGTAGACGGCTTGAATCAAAAACAACGCAAATAACAATCAGTTTAGGGTAGCACTTTGTATTTGTATGGTGTGCACGTACGTTTTCCGCACAAATTAAATCGGATGCCCAATTCCACGGCAGCTTCTGTTCGTGCGTCAAGAGGTGTCATGTACAGCAATACACCATCTGATGGGAAAAAGACCGGTAATGAAGCATGTTTTAAGGACATGCGAATCCAGGGGGCAACAGCAGTCAACATTGTCATCCCATATGGGCATCGATAGCTCTTTCCTCGTTTCTCAACAACAAATAACTAAGTCGTTTATTGATACCCAATTGATATCTGATGCGTGTTGTTGTGTTTGCCATTTCCGTAGTCGTCGACACCTTACATCGTCCTTGTATACTATTCTGCGTCATAAGCTAGCAGGCTGCTAGTACTGGCTTGAATACCTAGCTGACATCTAGCTGTTGTTCATCATTGAAATTTATGGCTGAGTGTCTGCGCACCATCAAAACAACCATGGCATTCATGTTGTCTTCGGCTTTCGCTGGTTGAATTGTGTTCCTACTTACAGTTAACCACCGTACTGCTACGCATTTAAACGTTGACAACAGCACCGTGCACCACAGCCACATTTTCCGGCAACAAATCTGGAATGCGGGTAGTTGAAATTCAAGAACTATGCAAATCAACCCCATCAACCACTTTAAGTGATAAGGAAACGATGGTAAGAAGCTGTGCAGTGCAAGTCAAGCAGCGTTTCTGTGACAGCTAGTCCGATAGCCAAGTCAACTTTAAACTATTTCACGAATATGTAATGCTTAACAGCTTAGCATCCTGTCAGCACTCTGCCTCGGCATTCCACGCCCAGGTATCCTACTACGCTGCTTGCAGCTGCTATTGCTCCGGCTAAGCTTCATGCGACCTTGCCAGCGGCCCCCCCGCCGACTGAAGGCTGTCAAATACGGCGATGCGACAATAACGATGGGATTTTGCCATCTGATGCCAAATTCTAAGCAGAACGACACGCAGCAACAACGACGCAAAATGATGAATGTTGGTCCAGGAGCAAGAAACGACGAAACTGCACAACAAACCACTGATTAAACTGCAGGCCAATCTCGGAATTTCGGGACATCCTGTGGTGTCAGTCACTGTTCTTTCTTAGCCCTTTACAACAAGTAGTTCCCAGCGATGGGCTCCTGGCGTGTGCGATGAACTCGATGTGCGAAGAAGCGGCTACAGACGCTCGAAATTTCATATAATATTCTAGAGTGCCGCACGGATGCAAGCGGTAACGCACGGATGAGCACGGACAGTGGCTGCCTGGAGCGGATCGACACCTTAGGTGCTGCGCCGAGGAAACCAGCACGGCCACGGAGCAGGTGGGACGAGCCGGCCCTGCGACGCAGGCATTCAGGGGTCTACGTTCCAGATTTCCACCTGCAGTGAGCACCCAGAAACTGAGGATCAGCAACGCGGTGCCGGTCAATGCCCAATTCATGGTCTGGAGGCTGCTTAACCCAAGACATCTCCTTTTTGCGTCACCTGGCGGTCTCTTCACCGGTTGGTCACCTCACTACGACTGCCCTGTGGTATGTCGTTCAGACGTTCTACGAGTTAATTAAAACTCAGAGTTTCAGAAAATAAGGAGACCGTCCGAGTATCCTTGTTATTCAGATCCGTAGCATGAAAGCTGCCTTCTATTGAGAAGCCAACATGTTGCATGGAAGCAAACGTCGAGGGCCAAGCTCGACCAGCAGTCAAGCACACCTGACTACGCTGAACAGAACCGTACGCCCCACTAGAGAACAACATCCAAATAAACGCAGACGCAAGAGACAAGGCGAGGATCAGACAAACAGCTCAGCTGTTTGCTGCTCCTGATCGAAACTTGATTTGCACATCGGGTAGCCGACGAACTTCGAAGCACGGTTTAGGGTTTCTTTCCGGGTTTTCTAGCCAAGAGCGACCATGATTCGGACTGCTACCCGCTTTCAGACACCTTGGTCAGTGAACTGATCGAAGCTGGGTGCTGGAGCATCCGATAGAATCAATAACATAGACTTGGTCTACCAGACATCTGCCGCAGATGCAGCCGGAATCAGACTCAAAAAAATGTACTCCAAGAGTAGTACGGCAGAACCCAGGACATGAATTCAGAGCGGCGAAGTACAGCAGGGTCGTCCGTGGCTCCTGCGGTGTCTGCGGGGCGCGAGCCTGTAAATTTGCAAACTCAGCCGGCCCTGACCCGAATACCCTCCACCCCGAAACATCCTAGAATTTCACATCTGGACCAGACTCGAAATCATAATTACATGAAGCCCTACACCCTTATTCCTAAACAACACGACACCAGAACCGTACACCCCGGAAGCAGCCCAAGCCATAAACCCCACCCAAACCGAACGATAGCGGACCTAAGCTTCGCCTTTAGAAATATCCTATATCATCTGATCCTCTGCTCCGATGTTTAAACGTAGGGGCATGCCGATACCAGAAGGGAGGGTATCACGGCGGGATCCATTCGCAGTCGAACTTGGAGAGGCTCTCTTGTTAAGAAGGACCTTCATGGGATGTATAAGCATTGAGGGGTGGGGTTCAGAGTTCTTTCGGGGTTCACATCGGCGCGATACGGCTTTTATGACGGTTGGGTGTCAGGATTAAGGGTGTTTCGGGTTTGAAAAGTTGAGATCTAAGGCACAGTGTCTGAATTCGGGTCATAGGATGGCAAGGTCTTAGGATGTAGAGTCGAGGCCTGACTTGAATCAAGCGTGTGGCTTGAACGACAGCTCACATGCAGGCTTAACGTTTGGTACTTACGCATCATGGGTGCAGGCCTTAAGGCTCGTAAGCCTGAGGTGTGCGGGGTAATGAGCAACTTACAACGGCAGCCCTCGTCTTGGGGTTTGGGTCCTAGGAACTAGGGATCTCAGTTTGGGTTACATCTCTCTGACCCGTATATACTGACTTGAAGCAATACATCTTCGAGCCTGCACCCTCAACCCTAAACCCCTCGACTTTTGACTATATAAGCATACCTTTTCAATGCAGAACGAAGCGTTTCAAAACTCCTCAAGGTCTTTTCGCAGTCAAAACAGCCAGCGTAATTCCGCAGAATCCAAAGCCAACACAAAGCTAGTCTGAAACCCAAAGGGTTTAGGGCTTACGGCTTAAACAACACAAGCCTGAACCCAAAACCCGAGACCCTAAATTTGTAGACCAAACCCAATGACAAGTCGTCCATGGCCGAACGTATGCAACAGTGGGTGAGTCCTGGCCCCGGAATGCCTTCGGCCGCGATGGAAAATTAGGGTTCAGGATTTGCGTTTTGGGGGAAGGGTTTAGCCAATGTATCCTAAGCACCGAGTACATCGTACTACGTCATAAAGATATTTCGGAACCGATGGACTAGTCAACTTTCAGACTTGCCGTTTATAATGTTACGGTTTCATGGCGCTGATGTGCTGAGCTCTGTCGAGTCTCGGAGGCCAAGTGTGGCTTGTACACGGATTTGGGATCTGGATGTTGCGTTGTCATTCAGGGCTGGCTGTGCTGCATGTTGAAGATTGTTGCTGGGTTTTAGGGTTTCGGTTCTGCGATATATCGAATCATCGTCGGGACTGCTGTTCATTTCGACTGTGTAGAGCTTTACCCGACGCATATCACTGCAGCCCTGGGTTCAAGAGCATTCGTGACAGTCATGACGGGGTCATAGACGGAGAATACACTGCTCAGCCATGGGAGTTCGAGTGTCGGGTTGATGAACCTACCCCTACCCCCCTTAGCGATGCCCGATGCCCGATGTGACCGAACGAACCCTAAAGTGCAGAGCCTGCTCAGGGTTCACCTCTAACTGGCCTTTTGCCAGGAACTACAAGATCCGGCGTAGACTTCGAAGGACAGTAGCTGATAAGATCCTTAAAAGAACCGCTTCCGAGAGGTACCCGGCTTTGTGATTCAAGAAACTCCCCGATGTGGAAGCAACCCCCGGGCGGTCCTGCAAAGGAGGCCGGCACTTTGGCATCGGTTTTTTGCCTCGCGAGGCGGAGGAATACGAGGCTCTAGGGCCCTGGACTCTGAATACACTTTAGGGCCGTTTAGGGCTAGGGTTTTAGGGCACAGGTCTTTGTTGGGATGAGAAAAAGTTGATGCGACGAGCGCCAGAGGCATGCTCAACTGCTTAAATTGCCTAAGCCGCACATGTAGCTAACAAACAACGCTCACGCCACTGTCAACAAGCTCCCGAAACGTGAGATCCTGAGACCATCCAAAACCATCAAGGCTTCAAGGCGCAACGAAGAAAAGCTGTGCTGCTGAAGCAGCCTCTCCGACACAGGATGTAGGGTTTGAGGCTAGGGGACAAGGGGTTGCGGTATGGCTCAGGAGTGGAAGCGAGGTCCAGCATGAACGGAACTGAAGCCTCCAAGACCACGGCACTGTGGAAGGAAAACCGAAACAGGGTTCATGTCTGAAGGCCTGAACCCCAAACCTTGCATTCGCTAATGGCAACTTGCGAATCCTCCGACGACTGCAAGTGCGCCTCCATCTCAGCTAACCGTCGCTTCTGGGACAAACTGCCTGGCATCTCGAAACACGCATTGTGCGTGTGAGGATCGCTGAAGTTGGGTTCAGAGCTTCTGCCGGGCAAAACATCCAGAGCCGAAGCCTTCCCAAGCCCGAGGGCCTCAGGAGCCCAAGCTGTCAAACCCTGAAACGCTGAAGCCATAGAGGTTTAGGATCTACAGTAGAGTGTACAGTAGTGAAAGCGTTTCTGGCCGAATCTACACAGAAGCCGGGTAAATTGAAGAACAGAACCTGTACGACCAAGTGCATCTGAGAAACCATCTTGAGTTTCAGCGGCAGGCTTGACCCTAAGCCCTAAACCTCAAGCTGTGAGGTCAGGGAGCTTCAGGCTCGGACTGTCATTTCAGAGGCTTTATCGGGTCGTGGGTAAGAGTTCCATCAATGCCACAGGGTAGTAGTTCGGTAGCTCAAACGGTAGTTGCAGGTTTGCTGCTAAAGGGTAACAAGGGCAGGAGAGCTTCAGACAGACAAATGCTGGAGTCATACGGAAGCGTCAGTCCTGTCACTCACAAGTATTCCCATTTACACGCTAAAGAGCTATAACGACGTTGCAGCATCTGCTACTGCAAGCAATGTTTCTAGAACAAGGGTTCGGAACAAAGCCAGCACTTGTCTCCAGAAACACCAGAGCGCCAGCTGCCAGATCTTTATCCGCCGAGGCCACAGGCCCAGGCGTCTTGGTGGTTACCTCAGGTACCCTCCACCTAATCCTCCTCCCTGCAGGGCAACGTTTGGAGACACCCGTTTTTTGCGTTCGTTCTTGTCCGGCTTCCCTTCATTTCCCCCTCCCCCCCCCTCCCCCCCCCCCCCCCCCCCCCCCCCCCCCCCCCCCCCCCCCCCCCCCCCCCCCCCCCCCCCACCTCCCCCGTGCCTCCTCCCTTGCTTCAATCCGCTGCTTTTCCTTCTTCCTTGCGTCGCCGTCCGCGGCCGCATGACCAGCAAAAGAGCAGCAAGGCCGGAAGATGGCGCTCGCACAATCGACGCTCACCCGTTTCGAGGTTGGGGTTGAGAGGCCCGCCTAGCATGCTGTATACAACATCCACTACCGCCTCGCCCTGCCGCTGCAGAGCCGAGGCGGGCGGCGCAGCGTCAAAATTAAAGAACAAGACGGCGGCAGCGACTCCGAAGTGTGTCGAATAGACCATATAGCCTTTGGGTCTTGAGTAGCCATGAGACACAGCACAATCAGTTCTGAACCTGGTGACAAGATGCATACCAAAATAGTTCACTTAGCCAAACATTCGTGATACGGAAGCCTGAAACCCCAAATCCAAAGTCCGAAGGGTTCCAGGCAAGGCGGCACAAGCAAGACCAGAAGGCTTGCGGCCTGCTTGAGAAATCCCCCGCAACTTACATCTGGTTTACGGTTTACTCTTCAGAAATCGCGCACATCCCTGAATCCTCGTGCCGAAACTCGCCGCGTTGACCCCCTCTTCCAAGCTCCCTCTTTGATAATCCTTGGCAAGCGGGGGCGAGGCTTCGGGCATTGCCTTCAGCCGCAGGTAAGGTTGACGGTTTCAGAACCGGCACGTCAGACTCAATTTTCACACACATTGCCCTGGGAGAACACCATTTTCTCTGTGTGATGGTGCCATGGCTGTAGTAAACTTCAGGATAAAAGCGTCGCGCATGCTCGGTTGTAGAGACGAGGTGGCTGCAATGTTTAGAGGCCGCTCAGCTGCTAGCTCTACAACTATGACATGATGCGTTGTTGCAGTGTCCCCACCGCTGCTCGGCTCGAGCAGGGGTCTACCATTTTTATGGGTCTTCATCCCTATTTTTTGCATACATAGAGAGAGAGAGAGGTATGTATATATATATATGTATAGATATGTATATACATATATGTGACATACAGCTGTTAATTCAGTATCGCCCCACAGTTAAATAGCGAGTATATGTTGAAGGGAGAGCTAGTTGCATATTGATTATGACACAGACATAGTATACAACAGATCTCTGTAAGCATTAAGTTAGGTGCAAAGCAAGAATTCATTCCGCATTCGGATAAAGTGAATTGCATCGTTGTTACACCACATGAGCACTACTTCCACACACACACACACTGATTTTGCAGCTAAGTACGTAGACACGTAGCAGGTGTCACGTGAGTAGCAATTAGAGAGGAATTTGTGGTTGAGCAGCGGAGAAGGGGCCATGATATTTGCTTTCGATGCATATATGGGATGAACGTATAATGCCACATGTCGCAACCTGGATTCGCATTTATTCTTCACGTGCTGGATTGACGGTCTTGCCCTTCCGTAAAGCATGTATTTCTGCTTAACATGACACTATACCTCTTGATGTAGGTAGATAAGCTGCCATCGAAATGGACATCGAACTTTGGTGCTGCATGGTGCTGCACTGGTGCATGTACAACGCACAAATACATCTAGTAGCGCACATTTATCGGTATGTGCTGGGTTTCCGATTCATACCGTTTACACGCATTCAACACAACTACTTGTACCCTGTTTACAGCCAAGAGGGGGCCCACCAGGTTTCCCCCTAACCATATCTCTATACATCTGTATATTAACCATAGATATATATATATATATATATATATATTTATTTATTTATTTACAATGTATATGTGCGTGCAGTACATAGCATATTTTGAACATGTGTGCTCACACACACACATATATATATAATATCATATCTGTATATGTGCATATATACACATACTCTCCGAATGTCTTGCTGGTCACATGGAGGGCTCAGGGGGGCTGGATTGTGTTGGGCTGGATTGTGTTTAGGCTTTGGGGTTTTGGGGTTGGTGCGACAGACAGCCAGGCCACTGCAGAAAACAACAACATCCCTCCGTACTTCACTAGTTCAGTTCCGGTTACCATGCTATATACCCCGACACCACAGGTGCGACACAAAAAGCCCTCGAGTTCCCACTGCCGCTTCTTGTCCGAACACACCCTAAACCTGTTGATTGAGCCTCCTATCCTAATCGGCTATAAGCTAGAATAGTAAGTAATAGAAGATTATTCTTCTTAAACGTTCTTTTTGTGGCAACTTGAAAGGATCCCTATTTCAACGTGAAGGCCTGCAACCCAAAACGGGTTCGCTTGGCTGGCGACGTTCCGTCTGCTTTGTACGTGATCTGGCACGCGTGGGGAAGAGGACATGATCCAGTTCAAAGGTTCAGGCTCTTTTTTCTGTCTTGAGGTCTCGGGTGTTCTGGGCGTAGCTGCCCTACAAGTACTTCCCTTCCTGTTTTGTAGGCTCGGCCCGACGCGAATGGCTGAAGCATAGATCGTAGGAGGCCCACCCCCCCCAATCCGAAGTCAGTGAGCCTACACCCCAAAGCAAACGTTCAATCACGAAACAGCCTCATGAAGGGATCCGACGGATTGGACCAAGGCTTTGGGGTTTCTGAGGCAGCATTTATGCTGCGGGACCCTGAGGGACAATTAAAAGATTTCGAGCTTTTCATTCAACAATCATCTTAAAAATCCACATGGGGCGCGCCCCGTGGCCGTGCTGCTTCCCCTGGGCCCAATAGCCATCGAAGTGGCGTCCGTCCTCGTCACAGCTGGCTCTTTAGATTCTGATGTTCCGAAGTTTGTCATGGACATCCTGAGCTTGTCTACATCGGGAAGATTGACAGACCGGATTCACAGATTCAAACTATCTATGCCCACGTCCCTCAGTGCGATGCGCAGCAAGGAGAATCATAACAGCTTCCATGCCAGGTCTGAAGATGTGACTGCCGAAAGAAAGACAAACCAGAAGGAATCCAGCATGTCCTCCAATCAAAATGTGAAGGTGCGACTGAAACCGCACACCAAAACAGTCCGACAGCCATGCGGCCATGCCTGCCAGGTGAACGTTCCGAAGCCATGCTTTTGATCGTCGGCATATTGGCCCTTGAACCTTGGAATTTCGCACACACACACACACATGCGCACAGCCTTGGTTCCCATTTACAAACAATACCGGGTTGTGAAACCTCTTTCTTCGTGCATTCGGCTTTTGTAGAAGTGAGGTAGCCTGATTCCATCAGACACTGGATCGGAAGACGAAGCGCTGTTTGGAAGCTTCCGGCAGCCTTGCTCTCGTCATCAACTCGCAAAAATCTGGACCTTCTCAACCCGAAAACGCACACCCGGGAGGCTCAGGAATGGTGGTCTAGGGACCACGGCGGCTAAGGGCCTTCTGTCTGGGGCTTCGGTGGTAGGGTCCTACTCGGGGCATACGGTGTAGGCCAGTGTAAGGTCACGAAACCTCGATTCTGTTACGAGGATCCGACTCCACACCGTTTGGGATCAAAACAGCCTCAAAGAGCCTGGCTCAAAAAAAACATGTAGGGAAATCAAGGGCATAGGTAACACAGCCCTAAACCCACCCCGACAATACCTTACTACTACCCATCTTCACCCTGTTGAGGCTAAGGCGGGACATTGAAGGACCTGGGCGTCCCGACGTGCGCCCATCGGGCCAGGAGTAGCGGCCGCATCCATGGATGACCGCGCCACGCCACATCCCCTGGAACCTGCAGGCTCTCTGCCGCATGTCACGGCCAATCTAGACAGGGTCTAGAGTTGAGGCTAATACTGGGGCCCGTCATCGTAGAGTAGTCTGGTTTGGGTGTATGTGATTGTATGTACAAGTATGAAGGTAAAGACATAGTACATTTATTCCGACCCCTGTGTCATACCTCTTCTTGATCCACCGGCATTGGAGAACCGAAGCTGAACACTGTAAGCTGCAACAGGAACGAACTGAGAACCACATCAAGTGCCCTTGCGAGCAGACAATCAGGCGGGTTCCACGGATTTTCTTTGTAGGTTTCATGAAGGTTCGGTAGGGGAACCACACTACCCCCCGAACCCTAACAAACCCGCACATGCGATCCGACAGTTCGGAAGGAACTTGCTGCAACTTGGGCCCGAACTCGCGGCCGTCCTCCCCAAAGGAGCGGTGGTCAGAGGGTGAGGGTCTAAGGTTCTTACTTAGAGCTGAAGACACATTGACTCCAGATAGCAGTGTTGGTTTTGGAATTTGTGTAACAGCGTAACAGGTCTTCACACCCAGAACACGCCAACCCATGACATGAGCCATGATGGTCAGTATCCAGGGGTGCGGCAGTGGTAACAGCTAAGCTTCAGAAAGACAAACCCTAGAACACCGAACTCCAGGTCGTGATCACATGGCTCACAGAAGACAGTTTGGAAGAGCCAGCAGAAAGGCCTCACCTAGTAAGTTTTGCGACTGGGACCGCAAGGTTCATACCTTTGCAAAAAGGGGAGTTGTTTATCCTCAGTCTACATGAGAGGGTTTAGGACTGAACCCAGGATATGGCCGGCTTGTGTGTTTACAATTCAGGTTCCACTCGCCCTGGCCCGAGTCAGTCCCGGCCCATGTAGTGGCCATAGCCGTTGATGGCATTGGAGTGCCACTGGCCCATGTACCTATGTGGTCGGGTTGAGGACGTGGACCTACTTCTGTTTGTGCAAAGTGTTTGTGCAAAGGACTGCATAGTTGCAGAGGTGTAGCTGAGAATTAGGGGATAGCTGAACCCACCGGCTTAACGGCGTTAAGCTGGGGGACTAGGAGGTATTTCCGGCGGCCTACTGTAGATTCTGCAACCCTGAACCTCGGACGCCTAGTCCGCGCACCCGTGACTTGAAAAGCCTGAACCCATAAATCCCACGCCCTATGCCTCAAACCGAAGCTCAGCGAGATGAAACTCTCACAGTGCAAGTGGCTAGTGGCTTTCTGGTGAATCTCTTGACAAGAGTTCCTGTGGACTTGTAGCCCTCATACTGGCATTTCGAAGATTCCTATCACCTCTTACCTGCTTCAGACACCGTCCCAACCCGTCTGGTCGCACATGGAGCCATCTGGCCATGAGTAGGTGCCTGCAGGATCCAAGCTAGAGCTACTGGGGTTTGGGAGGTCCTGGCTGGCGGGAGAGCTCATGAACCCGAAACGGCCCCAAACCCTAAACCGCAGAAGTCTGAAAGTTGGATCATGCACAGGGTCCAACAGCCTGTTAGTTTGCAACAGCAAAGGAGGAGCAAAAAAAAGAACCCCTGCAACACATGTCCCCTCAAAGCCGCATTGAAGGGGTGGGTTATGTGTTACAAAGGCAGTAATCGCTCTGCAGCAGTACGGTCGGCTTGCGACACACACGCACACACACACACACACACACACACACCGACCGCTCGCACGAAGATGAGGAGGAAAGGTGCCACAAGGCTGACCTATCTCAATTTAGTTTTCTGCATGGTGCCCTTCATCGAGGCACAGTTTAGCATCCAGTCACCACCCTTCGGAGAAGCCTGAGCTTGGAAACCTGTACTCCGAATCGGCTTTCTCTAGCGATGGCGATGGTGGTCAGGGCCCGAGCATTCTGCCAACAGTTTAGCTTTAGACCCTAAACCGAAGCCTGCACTAACAATTGACAGCCTTGCACCAACAGGCAGCCACGAAACCAACCTTACAACTCAAGCTCACCACTTGCAGCTGGGGTATTTGCCGTAGCCCTCCTTCTTGCCCCAGTTGAACCTAAACAGCCGCAGACAACTCAAGCTCTCACTTCTTCAGGATGCGGGTTGTGCATGTGTATGTAAAATTCCTATGTGTATGTACGTATGTATGTACGCATGCATGTATGCATTATAGGCACGGTATGGCATGGTATTGTAATGTCAATGAAATTAGTGAGTATTATGTATGTGTGTATGCATGAAAGCATGTACCCATATGTATGTATATGCATGTATACATCTATATATATATATATGTATACATATATACATATATATATATATATGTAGATGTACTTGCATCTTGATGTGTCTAAACATATGTACACTGCTATATCTCTATGCATCATAAGGACCGGGGGCCATCAGACCATGTCAGCTCGAGCGATGAAGGTGTTGCAAGCTAATCTTCAGGGCCAGTTTGGGGCTTAAAGTGCTGAGGGGTTCGGGTTGGGTACAGGGTGTCAGGTTTGTATAGGGTTGTTGTTTAACACCTTTTCCGTCGTCTGCCTAGGCTTCTTTTAGATGTCAGGTTTTGGGTTTGAAGGTTCTCCACATCTGTCAATACTTTTGAATGCCTTCCACAGAGCTTTACATGGGCATCCGGCAGACGAGTAACTTCAACAAGAACTGAATACAGTGGCCTTAGTGAGGAGAACAGGCTTTCGGTGATGTTCTTAGCATAACCGTAATGGGACTAAAAAGACTAAACCAAGCCTTCTACTAATTATTCAGACCAGACCGAATAGGAGGTGCACCAACGCGGAGGTCTTAATATTACTCTAACACCAGGGGTCCGTTTTGAGTCCTGGTGTTAGGGATGCTCCACCATGTCGGACCTGATCATAAGAAGCCTCCAAACCGTATGTCAGGTCGGCCAGCACTCAAGCCTAAACCCTGAACCTTAGGGTTAACCCGAAACCCCCGAGAACTAAGCGTAACAGCATGCATTCATGGGGGATTTGGAGTTCACCGTGCCCAGAAGCTGTCGTCAACGCACACCCCACAGGCTATGAACCCTAAATTCAAGTCGAAAATTTTGCAACCGCAAGACCACAAGATTTTCGTGTAGCTCACCTACCATGTGGCCCCGCATGTGGGACTCTGCGGCTGGCATGCAAAACTCCCGCTGGACTTGCAGCACTTGTGGTCGACCCTAAATCGCACATCAGTAACACACATCCACGACATGCTCTGAATCCGATCATGAAAGCCTGGCAACCGAACGAGCCCGAGTGCAGTTACACGGCCCTGTCCAGGATTTACATAGGGCATGGAACTGGGCGCTTAGAGCTTGTAGCTGGAACGTTTTGTAAAAATCCTATATCAAATCTCAAAGGCCCTCAAGATTATCTGTAGCAGGATACTGCAGGGCTCAAAAGGCGCAAGTCGAGGCCATGGCTGGCCATGGTACTTGCTGCCTCCTTCCCACTCCTCCACGCCAATGCCGTGCTGGACGTCCTGGTGGGTTTGGTCGTGTGTGCCAGCTTTTGGAGACTCCCCGGCGGAATGTGGTCCATGTATGGGTTTCGGACTTTCGACCTCTCGGGGACTGTGATCTATACCCTGTACCCCACACTTCCGATTCTCTAAGGTATACACTGAATTGCATATCTGCGCAGGAACCTCGAAGTTCCCAACCATACCGGGTCCGGAACGAGGCCTAAGGCGGTGCAAATGATCTTGACACCCCAAAAGATCGGGGGTTTAGGGTTTAGGGACTGTGCCTCCATGACCGACAAACGAATAACGGTTCAACATGGTCGCAGACTTCAGCGACTAGATGCACCGCAGGCACTGAGCACTAAATCGGCAGATCTCCCCCCGCACCCCATGTAAATCAGACTGAAGCCCCTTTTTCATCAGACGCTGCTTCGACTTCACCTGCTTCTTCGCCTCGGCACAGACGGAGTTTGCGGGTGCATAATCTGAAAGTGCACAATGCCATCTGTAAGTACCACGAAGCTTGCTGCTGCTAGTGCACGAGGTCTGAAACTGTCACACTGGCGTACAGCGCATTCTTTCTTTCTCGTGTTTGACTATGCGCACAATAGCCTACTTCGATCAACGTTCTTCATGAAAGCCGTTCACTTTAGGCTGCTAGGGGTCTTCGGATTCCGGGATCCTTGCTCTCTGTCTTACGTGTTGGTTGGCTTGGCTGGTCCTCGGTAGCCCAGCACTCATGCCAAAGCCCATGAAGCCCCGAACAAGTTCACTCTCTCGACTATAAGCTTATACCACCCTTTCAAAGGCATACAACCGAAAACACTTCTAACTTTGACTTAAGCCAACACCAATCGGAACCTGAGTTACCGCAAGCCCTGGAAGTCGACCTGAGCGCCGAGCTCTTAGGAATTCGACGGATGCAGATCACGGAGCATCTGTGCAGGGGGTTTTGGGTTTGGGCTTCGCTTGAGGCGGTTAGGATCTAAGTGCCCTAAAGGCTACGGGGTTCAGCGGAGTCAGTCAGGTCTGTGTAATTAACCCAGAAGCTCAAACTGAGGTTAAAGCGAAGACAACCCGTGAAGCCCGAACAGAAAGGGACAGCCATACACCGACAAACAGAAGCCTTAAAAGGCTGGACGAAGTCCTGAAAGCTTCTGTTGCTAGCATTCGACAGGGCCCATGCCCATCTTTGACTGCACTTAGACCCTAAGGCTACTGAACCTAGCAAATGAAGCTGTCCAAAACGTCCGACCCCGAAAGCCCGTCGCGCCCCTTTCAACATTTCACACCCCAAGACCTATAAACCTTGAAGCCATGAACCTGCTTCCCCAATAGCACGGACGAGACATGTAAGCATGCTGCCAGCCTCTATGGACGCGAAGCATGATCGAGTTGAATATAAGACCACTAATATCACTAGGCCGCGCCTTTCAAGCCTCTGGAAAACAACTCCCGAATCAAATCCTCTTGTTTTGACCCAGTCTGGGAAAATACGCTAGATCCCAATTGGACAAGGGAGTTGGCAGAAGATCCGAACAAAGAATGGGCTCCTTCTAAGGCCCCCGTGGAACCCCAAACCCGCGTAAGCTAAGGCCCAACCAATCGGGTTCTCTTCCTTCTAATATCTGGGCCGCAATATTTGGAATAGGGTCAATTATGCTATAATGGGGGGTTAAAGATAGTATTGGGAACAATTTAGGCCCCTGTAGTAGGGCCAGCGCTTCGGGGAGCAGCCCAGCTGGAGCGTTCCCAACCTTTGAGACCACGGTAGGATCTAGGGCGAATCAGGGGTTTCGGGTGTAGGGTCGATGCTAGGGCTTCTTTAGGACTGAGGGTTGATGAAAACTCACACCCTACGGCTCCAGGCATACAACCAGTACTATTCCGGCTGACACGCCAGATTGACCAGTTCCAGAACCTCGTCTGACCCAGAGTCTTTGACAACCCGAGAACTCTACGATCTTGCCTTCCATACCCTGGAGAAACACCTATAACCTCAACCCTAGCAGCCCCAAATTCCCCATAAGCTCCTCAACCCTTTGTGCCTAAACTCTCTCCAAGCCTCCAGCCTGCTGGGAGCTGCAGAAAACGAAGCATGAGGCGTTAGTCAAGTCCAGCTCAAGGATCCTCACTTAGAAGTTGTTGAGAAGTGCCAGGTTTTTTTCACACCCCTGATACGGAACCCTATTAACCCTAAACCCCAATCCGAAGCCAAGGCTGAAATTGGAAACCTCTGGCCCATCTCGTCTCGCTGAGCTCAAGGCATGCCATCGAACCTGATCGGCTCCGTGGCTTTTGAAGTTACGGTTCCGAGTTTAGGATTTAGGGTTTCTAGGGTTTAGTCTAAGGACTTGGGGCGTCGGGCTGAATTGCGGCTTTTTGTTTCATCGGAGTCTCTTAGATTTTCTGCGTGCAGGCAAGGTTTGTTGTTCAAAGTTCAGGATTTGGTATTCTTCAAGGGACCTTTCCAGGCACACGATGGCACGGTCGATCCCATCGGAGTCGTCTACAGGCCCGATCGCTAAGACTTGGTCTGACTAGAGGGGTCCGCATGCTAAGGATCTTCCATTCAAGAAGTACAGCTTGCACCGAAAGCCCAAATACCTCCTGCAGAGAATTCAGTACTGGGCACCGCGCCCTTCCTCCCGGGCTGTCCAGAGGCGGTCCGTATCGACGATGCGCATGCACTTCAGGGCCTTAGGAGCAGTGTACACCTCCATGGAGCAACATTATAAGCCTGGGTTTACGGCTTGCGGAGTTCTAGGGCATTGGGGGGGGGGGGGGCGGGGCGGCCAACGCAGCTGGGGAGTTGCCCGCTGAGTTGCACGAGTCCTACACCCTCTTACCTGAGGCCCCATCTCCCGAACACCTACTTCAAGCCCTCCCAGAAGCAGCTATAAGCCACGACTCATCAATGCACAAGCTTAAATCCTGAAGCCTGAGACCTGACAAGTTCTAGCTGTGACACATCCTGAACCCTGAAATAACCCTCAATTTTAAGATAAAGCTCCAAACCTCCAAACCCCAACCCGTGAACCTTAATCAAAACCCTACACCCTGGGCCCTACCGCTCTACAGCCATGCACTCAAGGCCCCCCCCGCCTCCCATATGACTGAAAAATGCCAGCGCTCATGTCCTGCTGAGTGCAGGACCGTGCGGAAGCCCTCACTTTCTGGGTCGAAGGCACCACCCTTGGCTCTTCGAAGCACAGACAGGGACGCAATAGGTCGCGGGCATTTAAGGATCTGATAAAGGGTTGGTCGGGGCTCTAGGTAGAGGTTAATGTCCAGCGGCTTGTAGGGTGCTGGGCATTTGAGCTTCCGGAGTCAAGGTTGCGGGCTTTGTTTCTTGGCACTTCTAGGTTGCGAGTTAAGACCTATTTAGGGACTCCATCTTTCTGATACTTCCATCAGGCCTGTTCGAGGTCTCTGTTCAGGGCTAGAAGCTTGTTGAGTTTAGGGTTCCAAGGATAAATTCCTGATCGATTTGGCCTGTGGGGTCTGATTCCACAGTTTGGACGATGGCGGCGTTCGTTGTGGGGATTTCTGCTTTCGAGGGCATCTGTGGATTTGGAGCTAAAGGGTGTGCGAGCGCAGCAGGGCAGGGGCAGGCCCGGGGCGGTCATTCAGTTGGATGATTAGGTGCCCTAAACCCTAAACCCTAAACCCTGATGCCAAGGCGATGGTCCAATGCCCTTTTCAGATTGCATGGATGGGTCTTTGATAGTGTACCAGTCTTGTCGTTCTCGGGGCAGCTGGCCGCCCTGGGACCAATGCAGTGTGAAGCTGAAATTGAGTCCAACTCGATGCCTCAAAACCTCTGAACCCTAGTCCCACGAACGCCGAACCAGATCGATGAATACACGCCGATGCGTAGCCAGGACATATACATACATATGCATATACATACATATACATAAACATACAAACAAACAAACAAACAAACATACATACACACGTGAGTGCATACAATCGTACATACATACATACATACATACATACAGACATACATACAGACATACTCAATATGCGTTCAGTTATGATGCACGAACAGTGTCTGGATTCGCGACAGAGCGCCTTCCCAGCGGTGAAATCTGCAGCTTTCGCACACCAGGCAAAGGCCTCTACAGGGACGGCCCATGGCCGGGTCTAGAGGGTATATAGGATTGCGGTTCAGGGTCCTGCGTACTGAGCAAGGCAACCAAGAGAAGGAAATGCGTTCGAGACCACTTGTTGAGCCTACTTGAGAGTTCATGCGATCCAGCAAATAAGCGTCGATTGCAACTAAAAGTGCAATCATTGGGGCTATAGGCTTGTAACCCTCCCCGAGTCTATGATCCTTGAAGCGAGCTTCTTGTACCGTGCCGCACCTCCCTGGGGATCATTCGCATGGCCTGCAACTTGCCAGAGGGACTCGGTAGGATGTTGCAGGTACACATACATACGCAGACTGACAGACAGGCAGGCAGGCAGACAAAGAAACACGCATGTATACATCTCTGCACGTACATACACTGGTTCTGCTTCATAAACACACACTTATAGATGCTCAGATGGGCCATATGAAACAACAGTCTGCCAAATCTGTATGCATATATATATACACATACACACACATAATATTTCCATACACACACACACATGTATGTCTATTTGCATGCATGGATGGATGGGTGGGTGCATGCACTGTAAATATGTATGTATGTGTTGATTGCTGCATATAGTGCTGATTAATTAACTCTATGCAGCGGTTATAGTCTGTTAGCACGAACAAAGACGTCGCAGAGGGCATGGGGAGCATATGACACATATGACACACTATTAACATATAATATATATATATATATATATATAGCCGAAAAAATTGAAAGACCAGTAACAACACAACATAACGCAACACAACGTCGCACGTTGCACTGCAAGATTAGGTGGCACACAGGTTCGCGCAGAAATCGGCAACGACATCCCCCCAGTGAATGTCTACCCGCTGCTAACCACCCGGCACACACAGAAATGCGCAAACCCACAGCATGTTCAGTAGAACCCAAGAGCTATAGATATAAATAGTGACAGATACAGAGAAAGAGAAAGAAGGAGATGGAGAGAGACAGGGACAGACAGAGAGACAGAGAGACGGCAGGCAGGCAGGCAGGCAGGCAGGCAGGGAGGGAGGGAGGGAGGGAGGGAACAAAACCGTCAAATCACTTATGGTTGCTAGTTCGGCCAAAGCGCAGAATAAAGCACAATGCCGGAAGCTCGTTGCCGCACTATAATTACCCTAGGCCCGTCATCCCTAAATGCCCGAAAGAACCTAACACTTCAGATGTCACCCAACTCCTCGCCCTCAATGTTCTAAACTCGAAGGTGTGTCTCAGCGCCCTGCCTTGCTACAGGGATGCATCCGCTGCGCAGTGCCTGCGCACAGCGGGAGCCTACATGATTAAAAAAAGGACTATAGTCACTGTATACTATGTAGGTTGTTTTTTTGGTTTGTAGAGGGATTGGTCGCATTTTCAACACTTCCTCCTACGAAATTACAGAACCACCAAGCCAGAAAGAAGACCGACACCACTGGCGCGGAGTACTGCTTACGCATGACCGTCTACATGTCCAGAATAGCCTTGCAAAGCCCTCCTAACAGAAGTCGAGATTTAAAACAGCTCCGGCCGTCCTTCACCCCTGTGGTGGTCCTCTTTGAGCGTCGCAACCTCCAGTGGTCAGGTTTGACATCTTACATAGCTCAACCTATACCCTGGCGCAAAAAGGGTGCCCAGGCGCGGGGATTGATGGAGGGTTTTGAACTCGGAGCACGATCAAGGGCCGAACCTGAGACCTAACGACGGGTGTGGTGGGTCTTGTCCTTGGACAGTAAATTTATAATATCCTGCATTACATTGAGGTTTAGGCTTAGAGTCTAATAGTTTAGGGTAAAGTACCTATCCTAAAGTCATGGGAAATCGTGGGAAGTGTGTCTGTATTGAGGACAGTGCAGGATTTGTCCTCCAGACGAACCTCTCATCAACCCCGTGGAAACAGACTCAAGGTGCACAGTGTGCCACGGTTGTACCTGGTACCCTGCCTGACACTACGTCTGGGGAACCACCTGTCTGGTCGTGCTCGTGGTTGGGACTCGACATTGGAGAACAGTAGAACCCTGAAGCCTGGAAGGACGAACTGACCCTAACGTGAAGTGAGGTTCCTGCGGAAATCCACATCTTTATTATTGGCTTTATAGGGCCTAGGAACCACAGAAACATACAAGCTGTTCGTCGTAACCTGAACTTGGAACACGGGGCCGCTCTCTTTTGCGCTGCTGTTTTTTCGGGAAATCGTGGCACGATCGCGTTTGAAGCGCAATCACATTTGGTGGGGATGTTCAGTGCCATCATGGGAAATGGAAGCCTATTGATCATGAACCAGTCGAACACCGAAGACTGATGCATGCCTCTCTCTCGCTCCATCTCTATCGGCACATACAGACAGGTCTAGATGTATAGGTATATAGGCAGAGATATAGGTATATAATGGGTACATAGATGTATAGGCATATAGATGTGTTGACATGTAGATATGTAGACATGATCTATGTTGATATAGCTACAGATATAGATACATATATATATATATATGCATATACATATACATGTATCATGTACACATACTCATCGACCCAGAGATGTATGCATGCATGCATGTGAGTCTGTCTTCGCAGAACCCCCTGCGTGACCAAGGCCGCTCTTCTCCCGGTCCTCCGGTCGATGATATAAATCCTGCACTACCTTAAGGACCCTAAACTATGGGAATTATGGTGTATTCCTTGTTAGGGGTAATGCAGGATTTATATCATCAACCGTCCCCCCAAGTGGTATACACAAACCCTAGGGGCAGCAGGCCGAAACCCCACGGACACCACGTCCATAACCACATGGAGGTTGAACAACACTGTCAACGTGCAAACCCGCGACCCTAAGGATGTGATCCAAAACTGCTAAAAACACATCCAGCAAGTTTTGAACCTTGCACAATAGATCCTCTACCTCCTAAGCCCTTGACAGCATACATCCCCTAAAATTCTAACCCCTGCAAAAGACCGGCCTGACCGTAGCAGCAAGGCACCACGCACGCCTCGGCAAATCGACGGCGAGCGAGGCCTCAGTTACGTGTACTTTGTATTCGATTCTAGTTGACTTAGTTTGTTGCGTTGCTTTTTGTTGTTTTGAACTTGGGTCCATGTGGGGGCTTGTTGGGGTGTGACTCAATGGGCCTCTAGGGTCTAGATAGGTTTAGGCTTCAGGGTTCGGGGGTTTACTGGTTCACCGGGACTTGATACCATGTTTTCCCAGAGTTCATCGAGCGGAGGGCCAAGGGTTCAGCTCTTGGGGTCTAGGTTTGCGGATTGGCCATGTTCTCTAAACTTCCATGTCACTGATGCCAAGTGGTTATATCGGGATTCTGCTCGGTTTTGCTCGCAATGTACATGGACTCCTGAGGGTTACGGATTTCAGCTGCTGGCTGTTCGTTTGCTGACTTGAAAAAGGTCGTTCAGTGCAGCGGATTTACTTGAAGCAGGAAAGGCCTTCACGAGGTTCCGGACCTACATGTGTATGTATATATATATATATATATACATATATGCATACAGATTTATATCTAGATTTATTATAAATATTGAATATTGCGAGAGAGAGAGAGAGAGAGAGAGAGAGAGAGAGAGAGAGAGAGAGAGAGACAGAGAGAGACAGAGAGAGAGAGAGAGAGAGAGAGAGATAGAGAGAGAGAGAGGGAGAGAGGGCGAGGGAGGGCGAGGGAGGGGGGGGGTCTTGAGCTTCACAAATTCTGGCGTCGGATCTGGATTTAACTTTAAGGCTCTAAACCGTAGTATGAGCCAACCGCGACCTGGAGGCCCAAGACTGCATCCGTGAGGAGGCCGCAGAGATGTAGACCGACAGCGAGATCGAATTCCTGCATTTAAGTAAACGCCGGGCTCACGCTCTACCCAGAGGCCCCAAAGTAGTTCCTTTTTGGGGTTCATATATAGAACCCTAATCCTATAAGGTAATCCCAAAAAGGAACTACGTTGGGGCCTTTGGGTAACTTTGAAAACCTTAGTCGCCCGATACCCTGAACACGATTTGCTCGAAGGCCAGAGACACGGACGGTAGCATCAAACCCAGACTTCTCGCCTCGCCCGTGGCCGCGAAGGCATCCACTGTGCCATGGAAGACCCGGCAGTTTGAAATGCCGGTGCCCCTGATTGGTGGTCTATATTATAGGGGCCAGAGCATAGGACATAGGCCATAGGCACCGGACTGTTGAAATTGTAACATTGTACGGGTCTCTTCTGAAAGGAATCAGGTTAGTGGGGTGCCGGATGTAGGATTGGATGTATTAGGGTATCTGGTTTAAGTCTGAAACTCGAAACCGCGGTAGGGGGAGCAATTAGCTGGTATTGAATGCCTGGGGCCAAACCCTCAGCCCTCATCAAAAGGTGACCCGGTCAAGAGAAACCCAAGCCTTGGTTGAAGGTTTGCCAACTGTCTCTTATGGGGATCTGGAGTGTGCCACCCATCGGGATCCCACTCGCCCTTCAAAAACTCTTGGGCGCTCCTCCGGCTTCTGTGAACTTCAACTGCCTTTTTGTGGGCTTGAGGTTTGGAGTCTGGCGGCTGAGCTCTTGGCTAGACTTTTGGGTTTGGGATTGTAGCAAAGTTGAGGCTTGGCAACCGGGCGGTATCAGCGATGCGGCTGTCCATTTCCGCAGCCTACATACGATTCTCCGAGACCCAAAGCCCAGAACCCTAAACCCCAAAGCCCTCAACCCTACAAGGCTTACTCCTAGCCCCGCCCACGCTCTCCAATGTAGTTCCTTCTCGCTAAGGTGCATGTACGGCTCTTGTCAAAATCCCGAATCTGAATCGCAAAACTTGAAATCTAACGGCCTATGAAAAAAAACACCTAAACCCAAACACAAAGCCCTAAACCCCTAAGAGTGCGTCTGCGCTTTGATGCGCCGGGTCCCCAGCTCGATTCGTCGCGCGGCGATGTCGGCGGAGTATTCTTTGGCCTGCGAGAGAGAGCGGGAAATCTCAGTCTTCAGGGCTCATGGCGATTGAAGCCTTCCAAACTGGGGCTCAGGCTTTAGGAATGAAGGTTTGGGAACTGGTAACTAAGGCTTAGGACAAGAACTTGCTACTGGGGCAAGTCCTTTGCAGAATCATCGGTTCAACACTTTCCATGCAAACGCAGCTCTTTCCATTCCTAGGTCTCGACGCTTGGGGTTGAGGGTTAGGCTGCAGACCAAAGACACGACCCCAAGTGAGGCGCCGAGGAGCACCAGGTGGATCCCGGGAAACATATCTGAATTTCTGCAGCTGCTTGCTCACTCTTCTTCTAAACCCTAAACCCTACGCCGCAAACCGTGTGGGTTTACAGCTTTCATGCATTCATGCATCCTGAAAGCCCCTGGCGCCAAACCGAATCCATCGAGCCTAGTTCAAGTCGAGAGCTTCCTAAGAATGCAAAGGCACATGTACATATGAGACTATATATAACTATATAGATAGATAGATAGATAGACAGATTCGATAGATAGATAGATAGGTAGATAGACAGATAGATACATATGTTATATATATATATATATGTATAACATGTGTGTATATATATACATATATATATATATATATAGAACGATTGTTTGTATATACACAGGTGTCTGCTTGTTGTTTAGCCATTTACCGTTTATTTGTGAACCTGTTTGTTCGTAGATAGACAGATAGATAGATAGATACATAGATAGACAGATAGACAGATAGATGGGTCGATAAGTAGACCTGTAATATCTAAATGTTATATATATATATATATATATATTATGTTCAGCATGATCTAGCATAAGGCAATATATACTGGTTATAAGATACGCTAAGGTAAGGCGACATGCGTGACACCCGCGGGTCCTCGACCAAGACTACTTGACAATCGGGGCGCTGAGATGCCAGCAGAAGGCCAAGGTGCCTGCCAGCAGAGTCTATGCATGTATGCATGTATGTATATAATCTCTCTCTCGCTCTCTCGCTGTGTCCCTCTTTCTCTCTGTGTCTTTGGCTCTCTCTCTCTCTCTCTCTCCCTGTCTCTCTTTCTCCGACACTGGATTTTGTTAATTAGAACTTTTGACCTATGTACTTACCTATGTATTCGTATTCATCTGTTCATCTAAAGTGTTTGCTTGCTTGCTGCGTGAATGTATATCTGTGTACGCACAAGACATGTCACAAAAGAACGGATAAGATATGTCCCCTTAACCCACAACCTTCCATGATTCAAGCCCGAAGCCCTCGAACGCTACTGTAGCTAGGGTTCCCTAAAACCCCAGCCCATCCCAGACCCTTCAAAGCCTTAACCCCGAGGAAGCCCGGACCCACTCCAAGGCGAGCACCCAGAGCCGGCTCCGAACTCGACGACCTAACAAGAAAAAAGACTAAAGAGAAGCCGAGTGGGTGAAGTGCAGAGTCTTGGGGCTAAGGGCTTCTAGAATTTAGGGTTTTTTTGTTCCATGAAGTGTAGGGTTTGGGTGTTCTGGGGTTGCAGAAGTCTAGGGTTTGGGGGTGTAGGGTTGCAGGCTTCGCTTCAAGAATTACAATATCAGTCAGCCAGATTAGGGTTTCCTCTGGCACATGATTTACTACAGCAAGGCTGCCGTGCTCCACGCAAGTCATAGCCGGACAAACAGCGCAGTAGCAGTAGCAGGTTCGACTATCACTTGGGCGCTCGCTTCGTTAAGCAAGATCCACCAATGCTCATGTACTGCTGGTGATGGTAGTCGTAGGAATGATATAGTACAGCAGTACAGCATCGGTATCTCTACTATCATTCCTGCTGGTACTAGCATCAGGCTTGGCCTTCCGTTTAGCAGCAGCACTTGCAGCAACCGCAGCAGCAGCACCAGGAGCAGGAGCCGGAGCAGGTGCAGGTGCATCTTGCAGCAGCAGCAGCAGCAAGCAGCATGAACGTTGTTGTCGTTGTTGTTGTACCCACAGCATTCGTAGCAGCAGATGTAGACGTACGGGCTACTTGTAGGGGTGGTCGTCATCATCGCCATCGTCGAAGTGTTTGCTGCAGACAAGTTGACTCAATGATGTTAACTCCAAGACTGGCTTTGTCGGGGCCTGGACCGAAGTCCAGGGTTGTATAGGTTCAGGATTAGTCTGTTTCTTGGAGCATGGGAAAGGGTAGCCGGCATAAGGAATCAAAGGGTTGCGATGTCGGTCCTTTGTCTGTGGTTTTTTGGCGGGGCCCGAGCTCTTGTCCCAACGGTGATGCTGCTATTGGTCGCATTGCCTCATGATTTGAAGATTCTTGGATGCTGTACGTGTCTTCGATCCGAGGTCTCGAGGCTGATGTTGCGGCCAGCATAGCCCAGACCCTAAAGCCTCAACCCGAGACTCGTAAACCCGAAAGTTCCCTAAACCCTAGCAGCCCTCAACCGTCGGAGCACTGGACCCTAAGAGCTATGAACTGTGAACAACAGTAAAACCATACCAACGGCGGCATGGCCACGCAGCCTTCGTCGTGCGCTCCATCATCTGCAACGCATAACTCGCCAAGCAATCCACCTGTGCCATGAGGTAACTTACGGCCATAGGCAAGCATTGTTTCACGTGGCTAAACTGGAAAGTCATAGTGCCTGTCAAGCCAACAAAAAACTTCAGCCTCCACTGTCCAAATCGAAGCCGGAGCCGACCTCTCATGAGACCTACCCGACGTTTTGAGGGTTTAGGGCTTCGGGTTTTCTTCGCAGACACCTGCGACAACTACAAAAACATTCATTGACAGCAACAACCGCCAGAAACCAAGGATTCGACAAGGAGAAGGCCCAGAAGGACATACCCGAAAAGCTACGCCCCAAAGCCCTTGATCTTGAAACTCCTAGATCACTGGCCCCTAAACCCAAGCCCGACGGAGACCAACGAGTCCCCATCACTTCACACAGCAAACGACCCTACATACATACAGACTTACTTACATACATACATATGTATGGGGTAGTGCATAAACGTGTATATATTCTGTATCCTACATCCTAAGTCCGATGCCTTCTGCCGACTCTAAAACCCAAGCAGACCGAGACATCACTCGACTCTACTGCCAGGACACTACAACAGGCATCCCCCTAACCCAAAAGACCCCAAACCCCAAACCCAGAAAAGACTCTCAAACCTTCCAAAGCCCGAGAGCCCCACAAAAACTCGAAGATCCTAAGTCTTGAAGCCAAAAGACCCCAAAATCCTCAACCCCAAACCCTAAACCCTGAACCCTAAACCCGAAACCCTAAACCCCAAAGCCCTAAACCGAACAACACCGCCTGCGCCCTCTTCCGGGCGGCCCTTGCAACGTCGAGCTCGCCATCCGCCGGGTCCAAAGCCTCTGCGTCTGGGGCCCTAGAGTGTTTTGGGCTTTTTTAGGGTTGTTTAGGGTTTTTTAGGGTTGTTTAGGGTTTTTAGGGCTTTGAGGCTTTAGGGTTTTAGGGTTCTTGATTCGAGGAGTTTCGGGCGGCTTTGGGAGTTTGTGGGGCTTAAAGCAACCATGCAGGAGCTGAAGACCCTACAACAAATCAGGTTACAGCAGTTTACATGTTTGGACTCTCAAAGGCGCTACTGTAAATGTTCAGGGAAGTTCGTAAGGTATGGGAAAGTTTCGGCTTCTCTGGGACTTTCGCGGTCTTGAGGATTATGTAGGGTCGCTGAGGTCTTGGAGTTGTGTTTCGGGCGGTGGATTTCCAGGGAGCAAGGTTACGGGGCTTACGGTTGAAAGCGCGAGGTTTGCAAGCCCTCAACCCTGAACCCATTCCCTAATTCATTATTGGCGAACTGAACAGTAAAATCCAGAGCCTTCAACCCCAAAGTACAAAACCCGAAATCTGCACCTCCATGAAACCCTAAAGCCACAATGAAAGCCCAATTCCTTAACTCCGGAAGCCCATTGCTGTTGCTAAACAAAAAGAGCACTCTGTACTTTATGGAGAAACAACAGCAAAGAAGCCGCACCCCTATTATACAGAAGAAGCTGCGAACGGATCTTTGATGGAGAATCTAGACTCTTAGGCCCTATAGTGATTTCGTGTAAACCCGAAGCCGAAAACCATTATGAGAAACTGCAAACCTCCAGTCTTCTTTACCAAAGAACACTATTTCTTAAACTCATCAGAATCCCCATATAGTATAGAGTAAATTCACCATACGTAGCGCAAAGAAGATGAAATACGTCAATATGATTTAAGGCGCGCTCCGTGCAAATCATATTGAGAAGTCCTACTTGTTCTAAGCCAGACTCCTTACAGCCCATAAGGAGTGGCAGTAAATTCATAAACCTTTCACCGAAACCCTATGATATATGCTAAACCCTTAATGATGAAAGCAAACCGTGTCAAGCCCTAACCGCTGAAGTAACCCTCAATACAAACCCCAAGCCATGTGAAGCCCTCTAAACCCTGAGCTGGGCTTACAGGAAACCTAAAAGAAACCCTCAAAGGAACCCTTATAGGAAGCCTGATTACGAGGAATCTTTAAAGGCACGTTTTTAACAACCTTAAACGCGACCCTTTGTAGGAGCCCTTGGAGCAGGCACCCGGCCTTGGGCAAAGATTCCCAGCAAATCCCGCCGGCAGCGCTGCAAGCGCGCTCTTCTGCGTCGACGAGGTCGCCAACCTGTGGGATTGCTTGCTTTGGTTTCTAGTGTTTGGTGGGAGTTTTAGGCTCTATACGGATTTTGGTCTTCGGGGCTTGGGCTAGAATTCGATGCCAGTACGGTGCTCGCCTCGGATATATGGTGTTGTTGAAAATGAACCCCTGAAACTTCCCAAATACCCCAAAAGTAACAAGTCTGAAGGCTTCGGCTTAAGTAAGCCTAAGTGATTAGGTTTATACTTCTAAGAAATAGAGCGTTTGAACGTTAAGGCATTGGGTGGATGCTGACACTTCAGTGCACTAATGCCATTACCAACGCTTGCCATGTAGCAAAGCTCAGCAGTCTTTAGGGAACACGACGGTCGCCTCCTACCCATGTAATTTTAGGGTTTGGGGTCTCCGGATATAAACCAAATCAAACCCCTGCCGGTGCTTCTCAGCCTGTTTGCGCACGCACCATCACGCACCCACATGGCTTGAAAGTAGCTTCTCTCCGCACGCTGACATCATCCCCTACCACGAGCCAAACCTCCTCTTGAAGCCTACACGCCCTACAACCTGAAACCGTGAACCCTCAGACATGGGCCCCCGCAGAGTTGCCTGCGACCAGATGCGGGCAACGGCTGCAGACCGTTGCTCGGATTTCCGGCGGAAGCCGTACTTTCCCGGAATGGATGCATCCATGCCAGGCTTACCATGTATGCCAGAGAAGCTTTAAGGTTCGGGTGTTCAGTTCTCAAGAGATTGTCGGGTTCCGGGCTTAAGGGATTAGGGTTTGTAACCTTAAGCCTCATTTTTCGGCTGTTGCATGTGAGAGTGTAAGGAGTTGTCAGCATGCGGCTTAGAACTTGCCTTGCCGGGTCGATGAAGCAGCTTCAAGATTCAGTAAACTTTAGTAGTGCCACTGGGGTTTGGGCTACACTTCGTGTATCACCACCCTGCCTTCCCCAGCACTGCAGTGGGGAATCCAGGTATACATCTCAATCCCAGCTTATCTGGTATAAACCAGGTGTAAACTCCTTCCTATGCCCTTGGCTTGAGAAGTTCCGGCTCTCGATTTGAGGATTGGCGAAGTGTGGCTTTGCTTGGAGGTTTATGCATCTAATCCTTACCAGCCCTCCCTTTTCCGAGTGCTAAATTCCGCTACCTTTATCTCCCACGGATACAGCATGAGGCTCCAAGTCTAGCTAGCAGTCTGTGCTGTTCCCTCCGGCAGAGGTCATCACAACGAAAGGACAAAGAAGCCAGACTTGGCACGCTCGGAGCTTGGGGTTTCAAACCTTGCGTGTTGGGCAACCATCTTAATGTCTTTTGGGGTTTAGGTACGCCAAAGCAACTCTGAGGAAGTGTCAAGTCCTGAAGCCACTGCCCACGGTAGACTGTGAGGCCATGCTTGTGGTAGTAGGTGCCTGGCCACGAAAGGTTGCCACGAAAACCCAAAACGAACCGAAGGCATCAATCCTAAATCCTGAACACAAGCCCTACGCCCTAAACCCTGAACCCAAACCCTCAACCCTGTACCCAAACCCCACCTCGAAGCCTACAGCGTCGGCTGCTGAAGCTGGGGAGGGGGGGGGCACCCAAGAAGAACTTGGTGTTTCAGTGTAGTTTCCCTGCCGCAAACCGCCAGCGACCACTAACAGTGGCGTGACGTTGTTTTATACTTTCATTACGTTTAGAACTTCCTTACGGCTTGTGGCCTCTATAAATCATCGATAAGGGACTCATGATGAGGATGAGCATGTTGGAAGCCCACTTGGAGCATTCTTCTAGAGTGATGTAACGCAACAAAATCATGTTGCAGTACATCTCAAATCTCTGAACCAATTAATCCCAACTTCTAAACCCGAAGCCCTAACCCAAATCCCAAAACCGCGTTTGGCATCAAGTCCGGCAGTGCCTTCAGAAAGCAGCCAAGAGCCTTCAAAGACGCTAGATGTACAAGCCTGCAAATTTGGAAATAACCGCTCTACAGTCTTGAGGCCCTAAAGCCGCTAAACCACTTCAACTCGAAAGCCCAAAGTGAAAAACAAAAAAACGAAAACCAGCAACCCGTGAGCCCCATTTAATCCCTTCAGGGGCCGGCCTAAGCCTTCGGCGGCACTTTTCCTGGAGTGAATGAGCGAAGGAGCACCAGAGCGATCAAGCTTTCAGTCTCGAAACCTCGATGAAATCATCGGTAACCCTGAGCCCCCAATTCCTGCATCCTCAGGTCTAAAGCCCGGAAACCCCCGATCGGTCGGTTTCCGTTGTCAGCGAAGCTTTCGTCAAACGTTTGGGGGGAGGGTCCATACACTAGGGACCATTTGCCTCATGATTTTGCTAGCATTGACAACACCTTTCATGCTTTACTATTACTTGATATTACTATTTGCTCTGCTATCGCTGTGGCTGTTTGCTGTTAAACTGTTACGGCCGACAGTTGTGGCTGCTAGCGGCAACAACAGTAGCATCAGGTCGCAGAGGCAGCAATAGGAGCAGCAGTGCACAGGAATAGAAGAGGTGGTGGTGGTGGTTAGTTCCTTCCCGAAGGTTCAGGAGGACTTGCGAGATTACTTTCGGCGTGTTGCAGCAGTTACGCCCACTTACCAAGCCCCGTGATCCTCAAAGCCTGTACGCATGCCGGAAGCCCCGTCGCACTCCAAACGGAACCTCTCAAAACGGTCCTCCATTGACCGACGAAGATGTCACCATCCGCATGCGTAAACTGGCCCAGGCCCTGTCATTCGGGGCAGGGCATGGATGCGTAGGGGTTTCGGAATTTAGGGTTCAGCGTTTGGAGTTCGGAGTCAAAAATCTTAGGTTTGAAGGGCTTGTGTAGGGTCCGGGGCATATCCTTTTAGGGCTCACACCTCAGTACCTGCACAACGTCATTGTGACTCCGAAAAACTTCGACCATTGTCTTCCTTTCGTGAGCGGTCTGAAACTATGGGAAGCAATACTTAGGTCTCTCGGCTCACAGATAATAGCCTAGCCGTAGCCCGAATCCCGGAAGAATCCACACCTGCGAAGCTCAACCTAGAAGAGTTAGAGCATGCCACAAGGTCGTTCTCATCCTCCAAGCCCTCAACCACTACCCTATACTGTAGTCCCAAGCACTGGCTCCTAAACTGTCCTAAACCTTACATCCCATACCCACATGTCCTAGTACATTTCGCCAGGCTTCTATACCTCTACCTGAACCCCAAGACAAACCTCACCTTTCATAAGCTAACACGACTGAGTCCCAAAGACAAAGAGGGGCCCTAATGCTAACGCAACCCCGAAATCGCAGGATCCAAAAGGCAAGAACTCCCAGTCAAGCTTTCCACACTTGTACGCCCACATCGTTTTTCATCTTTGAGCAGTGACTACCAGTACCCCCTTGTGGTCCGCCGTGTTCACGTTACTAGCAGAGTTTTCCCAGCCAGAACTTACCTTTGGTTAGTAGGGAATGGAAGAATGGTAGTAATAGTAGTTTTAATTGTACCATATTGTATCCCAGTCCTCCATTCCCTACAAACCGAAGGTAAGAGAAAAAAACCCAGCGCCCGGGGCCCAGCTGGAGCCGCACCTCTGCGGCGTTGTTGCGCCAGTGCCCTTCGAAGGCGGCGCCATCGGGCCAGTCCTGTCGGCCTCGAAGGGGCTCGGTGGTAGGGATCGTTTGGTACCGTTGGTTAGGAGGGAATGGAGGAAGCGGGTAGAAATATAACTACTATTACTACCATTCTTTCATTCCCTACTAACCAAAGGTCAGAGTAGGGCTCTTTTTGGTAGGGCCTGGCAAGCTGCACGTATGTATTGAGGCCGGTGACGCTACAGTACGCCTCCTTTATCCTGTTTCCCCTACCCTTATACCTCGACCCCACACCAGTTACTCTTTGCTTGCACCCAAATCCGCATGCTGTCCGTATGCTTCTAGACTCTTGGGGCTCTAGGAGTCCTGATCTACACCTGCCTTATCCCCCGGTTGACCCTTGGGCTCTTAGAAGCTCAAGAACACGTGAGCGTGGATTAGGGTCTAGGTATTAGGGTTGCAGAGAGTGGTGTTCAGAGTTCAGGGTGTGCTGCTTTGGGTTTCCGGGTTGAGGTAGGGTGAAAAACGTCTCGGATCGAGGCCTGAATGATACTTCAAAGTGCTCCAGGGATACTGTAGGGGCTTACTGTCTGCACGGAAAATTTCTCCCGCCCTAAACCTGACTTCAGGGGTCCTTTGCAAAACTTGTGTCCCAAACCCCAACAACACATCTGGTATGTGCCGCTCGCTCCAGAGCCCACCTAGTCCGTGGCGCTTGTTGTTCTGCCACTGGCCCTTGTACGTCGCCCCTGCACGAGCCGGAGGGCTCATCAGCTTTAGGGCTCTGGCTTGAAACGGTCGAGGTCGGGGGCATTTAGACGAAGTGGGAAACACCAAACGCTAAACCCTGATCGATTGAAGTATGACTGCAAGGTGCGTGCTGTAGCACGAAAGTGCATGCTGTAGCAGTGCCACACAGCCTACCGACCTGTTTAGTGTTTAAAGCCTCAAACCCTAAAGCGCAACAGCCTGAGCCCTCAGCTCTAAGCACTAAATCTTACAAACCGCCAAATCAGTCTCTCCAGATGCGAAGGACCCGAGCTTAAAACAAACCCCATGTAAGAAACCTAAACCCCAAACTAAACCCTATGCGGTACCCCAAACTCCAAACTCCCCGAAAAGGTACAGAGGTTTGACTTCGGCTTCCCCTTTTGGAGGCGGTTAGATTTGGACTTCAGGGAGGTGCTCAGTTAAGGGTTTATGAGGGTTCAGGTCCCAAGGGCGGAAAACTTGGAGATCAGGCTTTAGTGGAGCAGAGTTCGAGGCTTGGGGACTTCACCCGAGATCTTGCATGCGATCTATGCTAAGACAAGGAGCTTCGCGCACACTTTGCTCTTTCCGGGAGGGGTGGGGGCAAGCTTAGGGCTTCGTGCTTGACCTTCATAGGGCTTCGGGCCATTGCTACTTTTCAGCTTACAGAATCAATTATGAGAGATCATGACATAATTGTCGGGATGCGCGATTCGGGGAAGCTGCTGTCTGAAGACTAAAGAGTCGCACGTGGCACTTCGGGTGTCTTTTATCCGGGCTTGCGTGCGCATGTTAAGTATAAAGTTGAAACTCCCTTGAAAGCACCGCCAGCGGCCAAAAGGCGTCTCCTTCGCGCTTTGCCGTATGCTTGCACGAACCCTTTGCAATCAAACCCTACTTATACGCCCCAACCTTAAGTCCCACACTGCAAGCACCACCATGTCGAAATCTATGAATGATGAAGGTCTCAGCTCAGGGTTGTGTAGAGCTGTCGAACTACAGCCTCGACCACTTTCTCACCACATCATCACAGGGGCCAGAATGGTACCATGTCAGACCCTGCATCTCTCCTTGAGAAAATCTTGGTATCGCAGATACTGACTGTCGCTCATACTATCATCCTCAACTCCTGTACACGGCAGACAGGAATGAGCTGTACATCGTCAGAGTCGGGCCCTTCTCTAACTCCTAGCTGCCGCTGCGGTCTCTGCGTCGTCGTTCACGATCCCGACCTCGAAAGGGGAAGGAATTTTGCGTTTCGCAGGAAGGTTTGAGTAGCAGGCATCCTCTACACCTGATACATCGCAACCTTTGCCCACATCTTGCAGTAGACCTTAACGCACCTGTATTAGAACAAGAATAGGAACCCATTTTGCAAAAGCTCATCAACGTTCGCAGCCGCTTTTGCTTGCCGTGGGTTGCAGCGCTAGTCTGAAAGACGAGATCGCCCCGTAAAGTAGGGGCTTCATAGCTCTTGCATCATCCCTAGGAGCCCCAATAAGGGATCTGACCCCAAAGAGCTCTCTCAGGGTAAGCCCTCTGCAGCCCCTAAGCAGAAAGCCTCGCTCTGACCGGCTCCTCCGCCGGCGGTCGCGGCTTCGTTCCTGGCTTAGGGCTTATAGGGTTTACCCTAAGGCTGCTAACGCTTTTGGGAACCTCAAAATGTAGGATGCCCGAAACCCAAAGGCTCCTCCTAAGGAGATGCCTGGAAAGCATTTAGTACAAGGTCGATACCTCCAAAACCCATGCCGGGGTCCCGTCACAAGAACTCGTGGACTCCTGAAGTAGATGTTCAGGGTTGAGTGCTCAGGGTTTAACGGGTATTCGAGCTACAGCAGAAGGCAGTTTGGCTTCCCGTGTAAAACCTCTAACTCATGTTCCATATATGCCTGAATAAACAGCTTGGAGCATTCACAGCCTCCACATCTTAAGCTCCCAGGCCTCCTTTTCCTAGGGTGCTATTAGAAGCTCGAAATCGGAACTTGCAGGTATCCGAGTATCTGACGAATAGGCATAGGTCACGAAAGTTAAACTTAGGCTTGAAGCCTCTGGCCCGGAAGCCGTTCTTTGTCATGGGCTAGGCTACACCATAATCCCTGAACCCCCAAACCACAAGCCCCAAGACACTACACTCCAAGAACCCGTCTACCGCTACAAACCTACGAAACTCTACTTCAACCCTAAAATACCCTTCGACCCCACACCGCATCCCCCTTACATCCGAAAACTCAAAATGCCGAAACCCTTCACTCCGAGCCAGGCCTTGTTCCGACGGTCACCACGGTCTTTCTCCTGGCTGCGCTCTTTTTCACCTGCCGAGCCCCAAGCATGGCACTAGCCAACCCCCAAACCCTGAAAGAAACCCTTCTCAAACCTAAACTCTCAACCCTCAAAGCCCTGGGATTCCTAAAACCAATTCTCAACCTCCGGTCTAGGCTTGAAGGGTACAGCAGCAGGGAAGTCTGGAATGGTCTTTGCCTGGATTTGGGGTTCAGAGGTTTATAGCGCTGTAGAGCATTGTGAATTATGAAGCGCTTTAGGCAAGGGACGCGGGGCTTTATGGGTTAGTGCCTGAGTGCCTTGGAGTCTTAGCCTGAACCCGGATCCTCAATCCCAAACCCCGAAAAGGATCCTCTTAGCAGCCAGCCTCGCCGCCGATCGCGGCTCCGACGATCTCGACTCCGGCGGGTTCGGCGGTCTGCAGCGAGGTTTGGTTTAGTAGGAAATAAGGCTCCCTTAAGGGCTCCTGTAAGGGTACCATAACGGTTGCTGTATATAAGGGGTGCATACAGGGTTTCAAGGTATACCCCAAAACCCTTTTCTGGCTATTCTGAGAGAAAGACTGTGAGTCTAGGCATGCCAGGCTTTGTGCTTCCAACACTTCCTGTTTAGGATCAGAACCCCACGCTTTGTATGCATCCTCGCTCAAGTTGAGACTCGCTCCGACATCTTTAGCCTAAACCTCTCCGCGGACACTTTGACGTGGAATCTTCAAACTTATATACACCTGAAACCGTGACCCACAAAGCTTATCCCTTGAACACTGTACAACTCAAGCTCCGTAACCCTAAACCGCAGACCCAAAAGCAAAGCACCCGGTCAAGCAAGACCTCCTGAACCCCTTGGCTTTGGAGCTTAGGGGTTTGGTGGCTTAAGGGTTTAAGGGTTGAGGGGATTTCATCTGGTTTTGAAGGTTTATTCGGATTCGCCGCTTTGCTTTCCAAGCGCAAGACCGTGAAACCCTGAAGCATTGAAGGCAACAAAATTCTGAAATCCACAACTCAAGCCACCGAAATATTTAACGCCCACCAAAAAGCCCTCGCAGATCCCATATAGAAACCTTACAGACCCCCTGTAGCACCCTGGAGAGCTAACAAACCATCAAAGCCTCAACACCCAAAACACTACCACCCGAAAGCCCTAAAGACACCAAACCCCCAACCACCCTAGTGCCCTAGTGACAGACATCACCCACACTTCACCAGGTCAGATCGGTATAGACCAGGATCATGAAATGGTTCATCTAGTGACTCCGCATCAGGGTCTCCAAACTCTCTAACTCTTAAGGCCTCTCCGTGCAAAGGTCAATCCGAACCAGTAATTGCCTCCCCTTCAACCCCCTTTAGTATAGTATAACCCTAACCCTACACCCTACAAGCCTCGGCTGCGTTCTTTCTTGTCGTCCTCACGTGCAGGGGGCGTGTTGCTGCTGGAGGTCATGATATGGGTACTTTCCCTTGCCAGGTCCCACTCCCCAAAAGTAGATCATGAAATTTGATTTCTTACGCTGGCATAGGTAGGGAGCAGTCATGCTAACTGTAGTACTCCCTTGGATGAATACATGATGAACTTACAAATGACTCCAAAGCACAGTACCTTTTCTGGTTTCAAGGATTGAAGCTCAAGTTGCAATGCTACCCAAGTGCGTGTTCTCAAGATCCTCGATGTAAAAAATGCACTCTCAGCTTCGAGTGAGAGAGAAATCCAACATCCTTCCCAGGAGCCGAGCACCTAAACCTTTTCGTGTGTGCATGAACATGTATGTGTGCATACATATATATATACACACACATGTGCACATTCATAAACAATGCACAGTATGTACACTTATACAGCAAATGCAGAATATACAAACATAGATATATAATGATAATAATGATACATACGTACATGTATATTATATACATATATGTATATACATATATACACACATGTACTCATAGACCATCCTAAAGCCCCCGCAAATTCTGAAGTCCTAAAGCTATCGGGAAACCGCAACCCCCGAAACGACATCGACAAGCCCAAGGTCCTTGTCTGCTTTGTCATCCTTGCCATTTGAGGCCTTCTTCTTATCCTCCTGTGGATGCTGGGTAGAACTGTGATCCGCAAGTGCGATTCTGTCAGTTGTGACAGTCACTTAATTTTCCTAAACCCTATAAACCCTGCAAAATCCAAAACTCTACTATTAAACCCTCAACCAATCCTAAACTCGATAAGCCGTGCACCTTAATTCGGCACCTCCAGAGCCGAGACTGGAGTAACTAAAGGATGCAACTGTGGAGCCCTCCATGTAAACGGGTCTGGGTTGAACTTTGAGTAGTAGCTTTTCGGCTCACGGTTCGGCTCCTGCAAAGTTCGACTCAGGCAAAAGGTACACGAGCTGGCAGAGCAAGCAGACTGAGTAAGTTGATGATAGGCACAAGAAAACCAGCCTCAATGGCATCCTACTTACCAATAGCTAAGACCTCCTGGCCCGTGTTCTCAATTCCACAACCCTGAAGTCGCCACACGCTAGAAGGGACACGGAAGAGAGAGCTCGACAAGATAAATCGCCAAAGCACGGCATGAACGACATCAAGCTGTAAGTGCTGCAGCTAGATTCTATTGCCTACAACAGGAGCATTCTGAAAGGCTAAACCTCACCCCCGCAATATCAAGGCTTACAGCGCACCAATGCCTTGTTTGCGCGCACAAAGCACGCAAAATCGTGGTTTCCATGGGGCATCGTAAAGCGAAAGAGCTCTGCGGAAGTTTGAAAAAACACCAACGTACTGCGGAACAGGGCATCTTCTGCGCATCTGCAAAGCGGTACTAGACCATGGAGGTCATCATGATTGGGCCATGGATGCTCTCTTCTAGGGCCCCAAAAAAGCACATAAGCAAAATTAGTACAGGGATGTCCCCTATACACCCCCTTATAATGAAGCCCAAAAAGGTAGGGATATCCCTATAAAATGCTTGTGCTTATGTGCTTTTTGGGTCCCTAATCTTCTCAGTGGACGTCATCATGGTTGGGCCATGGGTGCTCTCTTCTGACAACGCACAGAAACATCGCTGGCACCGAGGTCTTCCACATGTCCTGATAGTGGAAGTGCAGGAACTGCTGCGTCCGCCAATACTTTCGCGGTTGCAACAAGAACGCATCTTGGGCTCGAACGTGGCTTTGAAGGGTACATGGTACAACGTAGAACCTTAGCCGATCCTTTCATGGCGAAAGTATATGTGTTTTTTGAGTCTTGAGGCCTTACTACAGAAAAAACACCTCAATAACCCTCGAAAAGACCAGGAGGTTTCCAAAAAAAAGGGTACCCTTAGATAGTACCCCAAGTAGTAGGACCCTTATTATAAGGACCCCCAAATAAGGAACCCCTAATTTTCGGAAACTCCCACCAGGCTCTACCACTCATCCTAAGTTGACGCTCCTCTGCGGCCTCTGCCTTTTCTTTTCGCACCCGTTCCACAGATGCTTTCCTCAAGCCACACTTCATACACTCCTGGTGGCAGAAGCGCAACCATCAGAAGAACCGTACGATTTGGGCGTGCCAATAGCCATCAAGAATGGCAATGTTCGTTAATGAAGCTGATTGATGACTAATGACAATATTCCATGTCATGCAAGGTTAGCAACACCGGTTCAAACTAACCTACCATTCACGGGCAAAGCAGCCTGGCCTTAGGTTGAGCTTCATACAGGGGCCCAAAAAAACAAGCAGGGTGTTGAAGGCGTTGCTGCGATTATGTTTTGGAAGCCTCAGGAATAGTATGGCCGCACCCCTGTCGTTCTGCATCACCGGGGGCTAGAGCCCTTGCTTCAGTGAGCTATTTTGGGGCTACTGGAAAATTAGGAAGCCGTGTACTTTAAGTTGCGGCGGTCAAAGCTTGGGGCTCGGCCCGCATTGTGACTTTTCTGGGATCTACTAGCCCGGCGCCCTGAATGACCAACCCATCACGATTTGACAATTACGAAACTAATTCCTAGTGCTTCTGATGTTTGTTTTGTTGCTGTTACCTTTGTGATGTCCTGAGAACTAAAAGCGTTGTTGTCAACATGAGCTGGCCAGCCTCCTTGTTTGCAAAGTTGTGGAAGCCGCATGAGGGGCCTTTGGACAGTCTGCTGTTCAAACGGAAGTAAGGGCAGGGCTTCAGCTTTAGAAGATTTAGGGCACTGTTCTCAGGGAGCTGAACACTGAGCTGTGCTCTCACCTGGCTTGCAGCTTGTTTTGAGGTTACCACACGGACTGATTGGCAACCTGCTCAAAAGAATCAAAATTGCTCCCAGGTATGAAAGGGGTGTAAACAGTCTTGGTTCGAACTTCGCACTATGCTGGCATTAGATGTGTTGAGCGGTTGGGTTTGCGAACTTTGGGTCAGCTACACTAGGCTGATGTGGAGGGAGGCCTTTCTTAGTTAGTGTAGGGTGTTAGGCAATGCAGTTCCCCGAAACAAAAACGCATAGCAAGCACGGCTCATACTTGTGCAGATCGTTTCGCAATCACGGTTTGTAGCATTCAAGACGACCTCGCAAGCTCGGAAGCCAAAGTCCTGAACCCCAAAACCTGCGCATGCATGTTGGACATGTAGTTAATTAGTCGTAAACCTGTAGCATTGAGCTACACTGCACCCAAAATCCCCTCTAGCAGAAAAAGTTCACCCACCTCAACCGCTTCAGCCAAGCAGCAATCCCAATCACCTTCCCTTCGCGCCTCGGGAATCGTTGGGGCGTCTCTTCGGTTCTCAAGGTTCAGAAGCTTGTTATGATGAAGTACCCGCATACCGCAGAGGATTGCTGCCTCACTAGAAGCCACAACTTCTGGTGGAACGGAAGGGCCTTACCTTGAATTTCAATGTGACGCTCACACGGCAGCTTTGCGAATCGAGGTCAGTCAAGTGCCTCTTTCAAAAGGTTACATACGGCGTATGTATGGTGATGGCCGTCTTTACTGACGAGCTTCCTTATTCACAGAGCCATAGCCTAGAAGAACTTCGGGAGTTCAGGTTGTCGCGGCTTGGGGCCTTGAGCACGCGAGGAGCTTTTGAGATAGCTAGATCTGACAATTCCCAAAGTGCTGTCGATGGGCACCCTGATCCCTGCTACATCCCGATTTGCGAAGCCCATCTGGCGTCCTACGAAAGTTCTTCCACCTGGCTAAACCTGTAAGCCTGAACTGAATTTCATCAACCCTATCGCGTATAGGGCTTACGGCTTCTGAGTTTATCTTCAAGGTTTGTTCCAAGGCTGACTACAAGGCAAGCCCGATTCGCAAACCTACCAGCCCTGGTGGAACCTATCGGAAGATTCTGCTTGCCCGCCCCACACCCCGCGCCCTAAATCCACTTAACTCAAGCTCTGCCTGCCGAAAATATCTAAGGCCCTGACTTTGTGATGTCCAGAAAATGCCAAATTCCAAACCGGCCCCCGGCAGGAGATGCCAGATAACAGTGGAAACAATAACATGAGCTCGAAAACCTTAATGCCTTAGAGCTCAGAGGCCCCGAAAGACGAACAAACCCAGACCCGAAAGACCCAACTTGGCCGGGGAACGTTGCTTGGAGGAGGCACCTGGGCGGTCAGTGACTGGCATGGCGAAGCTTCGCATTGAGGGATGCTGAGGGGTTGAGGAACTTGCGATTCCTTTATTACTGTTGGTAGGATAAACCCTAAAGCCCTAAACCACCTAAACCCCTACTAGTATAGGGGTTTGAAACGAGGGACTCAGACTTCAGGGCCTCAAGAAGCCAACTTCGATGCTTCGGGCGTAGGAACGGGACGGAAACGAAGAAGTCTTAACTCGAGGCCAAAAGCTGAAAGTATGCCTGTCCCATGTGCCCTTCGTTTTCTGGTGTCGGGTTAGGTCATACTTGGAGTTTCTGTTAGTCTTCGGGGGTTGAATGCTTGGGTCTTGGGGGGCGAAGCAACAGTTGCTTCGCAATGCGAATTTGAAAGAACCCGTTGCTTGGATGTGCATGGGGACCTCGGGTTCATATGAAGTAACGAGGTGACTCAACAAGAGGGCACCTGGCCCCAAAGCAATGGCTATCTTCTCCCATTTCACTGCCCTCCATCTTATAGCCTCAAAGCCAAACATTAAATCCATAATTAGCACCTGCAAAGTATAACGCCGGACTACGACATGCTATTTTGCCCCAGGCCAGGGCACATAGCGCGGGGGTGGTGAGTGGCTGCTGCGTATATAGCGCTCTACCTGCACCACTGACTCCTTTTGGATTGAGCCTCCGAAACCCTAGGATTTTATCGTGGCTTCGGGCGTTAAGCCTCATAGATCCTCCTAATATCAAACCACCGTTCTGGAGAATGCTTCTTGTTTTGGAGAAGCTTGTCCGGAGCGCAGTGTTGGCAATAGCACCACAAAACTGCGCAAAGCTGTCTGCGCCTGGCCTTGGGATGTTGTGGTATGGGGTATAAAACCCGTTGGGCACTCGTACAGGTCTAACGTTTCTTCTCCGCAACTCTTGGAAACCATCAACGGTGATTTCGAGTGGAACAAGAACCTGCTTTCAAGATTTGCTAGTGCTAGAACTCTCAGACTCTGTACCTTGAGCACGAAGCGACCCACTCTGAACCACAACGGTGCTTACATAATCTCTTTTCCCCTTGAGCTACGCCAGGGAGTGCCCAACAACGCCCTGATAGAAGCCTGACAGACCGCCGATGGGCCCCCTGCAAACCATACCCCCAAACTACTACAGCCTCTCTAAAAACCAAGTGCATGAAAGGGGGTAAGAAAACACATGTAGAACTCTGTGAGAGCCTACAATATACAAACCTGAATACATACCAATACTATTCCTTGTGGCACTACAATATACTTCAAAACCCTGTTCGAATTCTTAAGGCCCTTTCATGCCCCTAAAGAAAAAAACCCAAAAATCCTATAAAGCCCTCTCAAAGACTGAAAACCCCTATGTAAGAGCCCTGGTTTAAGCCCCCCCCCCGGGCAAGTGCATGCTGAAGTAGGCCGCCTCGATCGCACGATCTTTGCCCTGGATTGCCGGGGCTTGGGGTAGGGAGTTGGTGCTTCAGGGTTAAAGGGATTAGCGTAATCTAAAGTTTTTGTATGGGGCTTAGGTGGTTAGGGGTTTAGAGTATAGCACCGTTTTTCCTTCTTTTTTTGTACGAATAGGGCTCAGGTTTGGCGCTTTGTGTGGCATAAGGAGTTCGGCCGTGGTGAAAGTCGCTTTAATGCGGTTGCGGTTCGGGATTCAAGGGTATAGGTTTCATGTTTTGGGTGGTGTTACAGTAGGGGTTTCAAAGGCCTTCCAGGTTTGGGGATACGGCTTCAATGGCGTGCCAGGGATCTGGGACTTTCAGGGTTTGGGTTTGGGAGTGCGCGGCATTGGGCTTTGCTCGTCCCGCCAACCCTATCTGCACCGCCTGCTCCCGTGGCAGTAACCTGGAAACTAAGTAACTCAGACTCACCCCTGCAGGATCTGCGATGCAGCCAATTTGCTTAAAACAGCACAAGGTTTCGGCGAATCTTAAAAGGGTCTGCGCACTATCCTGAAAACTGAACCGTGCAGTACGCATTGCTTCGCTTGTGTCTAGAGTCTGCCGGCGCTCATGACGCTCACTCTCGCTGCTCAGTAGGTCAAACGTCGCTCTTCTGATGCTCATGATGCTATAGTCATCCATAGTCCAAGCTCTACATTCAATCAACTGGCTGATGCTCATGACTCTCGCTCTCTGCCCTCCGCTGGTCAAAAATCTTCCGACTGATGATATGATGCTCGCTCTCCGCTTCTGTCCAAAGTCTAGCCGCTGATGCTCATGATGCTTGCTCGCTCTCGCTGCCCCGTTGCCAAAACTCTGCCGGCTGATGCTCATGATGCTAGAACCCTGTGCTCCTTGCCCGTGCTGAGTTGTTGAGGAGGTCTCTCCGCTCTGGTCATGCCCATCTCTCTTCTGATGCTCACAGTGCTCTGCTCCGTTGGTGCCAGCAGCTTCGCTTGGGTTGACATTGATAAGTTAAGAGTCTACCTTCTGATTCTCATGATTCCGGCTCTGGCTGGTCTGATTTGGTCAACGCCTTGCCTGGTGCTCGCTCATGCTGGCCTGCTCGTCGGAGACTGTCTGATGCTCATGACATCTCATGATGCTCGCTGTCGCTGCTCCATTGACCAAAAAGTTTCACGTTGATGCGCGCGATGCTCGCTATCACTGCTCTGCTTGCGTCAAGGATCTACAGGCTGATGCTGATGATGCTCGCTCTCGTTGCTTCTCACCTTCTGATGCTGATGATACTCGCTCTCCCTCGCAGTCCACATGTTTTGTAATCCTTTGGGTGCTAGAGCCCCTTCAAACTTGGGGATCAACCCAGGTGAGATCATGGTTCAGATCACTTTCTCGCGCAAGCCTTCCTCTCGTCGTACTCCATGACGAACTTTACCTGACAAGTCTGGTGGCAAAAGGCTTCAAACATGGATGCTGTTCTCGTGTTCGGGCCAAGGCTTTCGAGTTCGGGATCTACTATCGAAGGCCTTAGCTCGAAGTCAAGCTTGCAATGCGCAGCCCAGACTGCGATCAAACACAAAAGTGCTGAAGTTATCAAGGAAGCCTAAACCTTAGCCCTGAAAGGCCAAGACCCGACAATCACAAACCCTCCAAATTCTACGAAGCCCAGGGTCCGGATCTTAACACAAGCTTCCATAGCTTTTGCATCTTTAGGAGCAATAGGGCATCAGACTTTCAGGGCTTCGAGGCTTCGAGGCCTTGCGGTTTTTGGGGGGTCTTAAATCCTTTGGGACCTGGGGCCATGGGCTTTCAGTGCTTCCGGGGCCTCTTGGATTTTTGAACCTTACAGACCTTCATCCCAGGTCCACCCGTGAAAAACCGGGGCTGGGTCCAAAGGAAGGTCTAGCTCAGCTTAACACCAAGACTCGAACTCACACTCCAAGACAGTTCCGTGTATGTGTGCATGCATACCTACACATACAGAAGTACATGCAAACATTACATACTCACATACTTACTTACACGCATACATATAAACATAGTATATATATATATACACATCACTGATATGCTTGCAGGTTCACCGGCGTTAACCTTCAGTTTCACTTGAAGTCGTTGTTGCGTTAGGTGCGCCCGACTTGGACACTTCACCTTGCAGAAGAAGAAGAAGCAGAAGAAGAAGAATATATATACACACACACACACACATATGGACGTGCCGCTTGGTCTGTGCAAAGCCCGCCTCATCTCCATCGAGGATGCTCCCCTCGCCGTCGAGGAGGGAACTCTTGTGGCAGAAGAGCTGGGCGCACCGGGGGCTCGTACGACCAGGAAAAGTTGGCTTATGCTCAAGGCACGTCTTCGTCCTTTCGATTCCGTACTCTGCTTTCCGATCAGTGTCTCTGTCTGTGTATATGTCAATGGGAGGTTAAAGCTAAGCTATACATCGCTTTCAACCATCAGAACAAAGACGGATACCTATCATCTCTAACATGTGTGCAGTTGACGTCTGTGCTCCTTTTGAGACCCTAAAACCTGAGTGTGGGATACGCAGAGACTGGGTTGAGCGGGCATTGCTCCGGTACAGGGTGTTGATCTCAAAGATTGCCTGGATGCCTATGTAAATAATCTCAAAGGCATCCCACCACACATCAATTCAGGCTTTAGGGTTTGTTGATGATTCAGGTTTATGGTTTGAGTCAAGGAGTAAACAGCAAGCACCTGTTCTGATCTTCCTGGCATTTTGCGGAATCGAGTTTCCTCTCGATGTCTTGCATCTTGCGGGGTTCAATACATGGTGGCGTGTATAGGTTTATGGCTCCTTGCGTGATTCCTTAAACCCCTTGCAAACCCTTAAACCCGTAAACCTCAAAAAAACCCAAGCCCTTATACCCTAAATCTCTCTTCACACTGAGCCCGAAATGCCCTGAATCCCAGAACCTAATCCCTAAAGCTGACGGCACGTTATTCAGTAGACAGCCCCACGTGGGTGATCCAAGCTTGTGATTTACGGCTTGGCGGCTTGGCCTGACGGGCGCCGTGAACTCCGAAACAACACATTGACGCCCAAACCAGTTCATTATGTTAATCTGCCATGCTGCATCCCACCTCCGCACTAAGCCCAAAAAAACCCATACCGAAACCTGGAGCCCGAAAAGTTTGGCAAAGCTCTCCACTAAATTCTAAGGCCCAACGCGCTGAAACCCTTCACACATTACACCTAAGCCTCAGCCACTTTAATCCACAAACCTGACCCTAAACCCCAAGCCTAACCTCTAAACCACAAAATCCTACACCTCCAATAAGCTGGTAACCCCCTCGGGCGTGGCACATCAGGGCCGTCGATGTCGCTCGGACGGATGAATCCGAAGCCCTGGCTGCGGTTGGATTCGGGCCCTTACGATACGAAGAAGCCGCAAAGCCAAACAAAATACCAAAATAGAATGAAACCAAAAGGCTAAACTTACAACATAAGAGTCTAAGGCAAGACTTGAATTCAAATCCTGCAATCTTTGCAAAATGGGATCCTGCGAAAACTTTGATGTGGCAGCAAGGGGTCTGGGGGCTTTCGGCTCCTAGTTTTGCTCAACCAGGATTTAGGGTTCAATGGAGGTTTCAGGGAGGAGAGAAGTCAAACTGGCAATTACCAAATAGTGTCTCGTCACAGTCTCTATATGACGAGTATAATATCAAGCCGCCGATATTTGACTGATTAGGAGTCGTAGGGTCCCAAAAATGCTGGCTTTCCAGGGGCAGTCAATCCCATCCCCGAGCTCCTAAGTACGACGTGTTCTTGACACAGCTCCTTAGCCAGGCACTCCATCCTACCCCCGGAAAACGCACTTTAAAGCAAATTGATAACTGCTGAAGGTTCGAGACTTCTGGTTTCTGTACCTTTATAATTTCTGGTCAACATAAGGATATGAATCTAAGAACAATAAGAGCAGTCGTGAGCACCCAACTCCTGTACCTGGGCTTGGTTCCACACGGGGACATGCATTAGCACCAACGGTCCGAAGACTGATTGTAGGTTAGTGTTGTGAACTATGTGCTGGGGTTTAGGGCAACAGTGACCGTCGGACACAACTTACTGCCCTACGTGGCCTCCGCTGACTTGTGCCCGCGCGTCTCTCGGTTTTCAACAGAAAGCCCGTACGCCCCGTCCTAAACTCTTAAACTCTGCACCTTGAGACTAACATGGAATCTCGTGGGAGAAGTGTTCCTCTTTGAAGGAACCAAGCGATTATCCGCCGAAGCCACAGACCCCGGCCCCTTCCCTCCCACTTCTGCATCCGCATTGCTCTCTCACATTACAGAAGCAAGTCCATGAGCTCTGTCTCAGTGCTGGTCTCCGGCAGGCCGAGGCGGGCGGCGTAGCGTTAAAATTAAGGATCGTACCCATGAAGCTACATAACAAGCCCCACTCGGCCGCCCCTACGAAGTCGCAAAAGTCCCCTCTTCTTGGATCAGGATTCTTTCATATCCCTTCTTCGCAATGATTTTCAGTTTGGAGAACGGGGTTGATCTTCAAACTTCTACTAGCCATACTAGCCCCAATGGTGGTGATACTCCTGCAAGCTTCGCCTGTTCCAAATGGCTTCATCAACTGCGGAATGATTCATCCCATCAAACCTGCGCCACACACCTCACATACGACTAGAAAAGACATGATGAAACCGTAGCTTGAAAATTCGTAATATGAACAATCATAATTCCATAAGCCATAAACCTTACCAGCCCTAAACCCTAGTCCTCTCTAATCTCTTACCCTCCCGCAACGACAACTGCCTTGTCGTCATTCCACCGAAGCATAACCCCGATCGGCATGGCTCCTGGACTCCGACCACTGGAGGTGCAGTTACTCTGGCTTAGGGTTTAAGGATTAAAGATTCCGAGTGGCGTGCGGCACACAACCTTGTCCGAAAGCTCTGAAGTTTCCCAGGCTACCAGCTAGACACGGCTAGTTACCGGTAAGTCAACCCTGTGTGACCTTTTTCACGGGGGACTTGGGCCAAGTGCGTCGCGTACAGATGTAGCTAAGGACCATAGGAATAGCAATGGAGGCAGGGTAAAATCTACACCCCCCTCGCCGTGCTGCTCGAGCTAAGGCGGATAGTACATGGCTCCAGGTTGCCCTGGGCTTCAACGTTTGTGAAAGACTTGCCAAAGCGAGCATATATAAAGCACAGCGGGGAAGCCCTGCAGGTCCGAAGCAAATCAAAATGAGGACTCAGCGCCTATGGGTGCGGTTCCATGCATCCCACTCGGCCTGAGTGTAACCTCCACGGCGCTGGCGATAGTACTCGTCCCACTGGGCCTGAGTATAGCCTCTGTACAACGGCTCTGGTGCTGTCGCGCGACCACGTCCCTTTTGGGATGGGCGGTTCTGGACTGCAGCCTGGCGGTTGCGCTCTGCCAAACGTTCGGTTTGGTCCGTCTGGTACTGAGCACTACGGAGGCTATCAGTAAGAATTTGGCCGATCTCAGTTGTGATGCCTTCAGTTGTGGTAGCCGACACATAGACCTCGCCATCGAAAGTCAGGATTCTCTTTGCAGCGTCGTTCACTGCTGCCACCTCAGCGTAGAGTCGCGGAGGGAGGAATGCACCGAGGTAGGTCAAGCCGATGGGGACATCCGCGGTATCGTCGATAAACCGCAAGTTCCTCAACGGCTCCACTTCGCAGTGGGCATAATAGACCAACTTCGCAGGCGGGACATTGCCACCACCATAATGGGAGCCGGCACGCAAGTAGCGCTGCTCATCGCTGCGTCCTGGATCGGGAAGCACAGCGTTCGACAGGTGATCGAATTTCTGCATGTCCTCGAAGTTGCGGCCCTCTTGCATCATCCTCACGTTGAACTGCGCGTCCTTCTCAAAGCGATCCGACACGGTGTCAAAGTTCAACTTTGCGGCCCTGATCTTTCGGTCTTTGGCGTCACGAATGGCAGCAGCCTCTGCGCTCATCTGACCACGCTTCTTTGGTCCCTCGCCCAGGCCTCGAAGGTCGCTCGCAAGGAGGTCGTCGATGGGCTTCTGGGCTCCGGTTGCAGCGGTGGCAAGAAGGCGCTGGCGAAGTCTCGAATTCTCAAAGACTCGCTTCGTGATCTTTTTGGAGTCGTCCGTCTGGGGAGCCTTGCAACGGAGGCAGAACAGCATGCCATTGGCAACAACTGCTGCGCAGTCACGGCATGGGTGTGAGCCAAGTGGATATGGCTCATCCTCACCCGCATCCGTCGTATCGCCCTCATCGACCTCAACCTCAACCTCGGTTTCGTCAGGAGCGAATCCACCAGCATCATCAGCAGGCTCACCCTCGCGGGTGGCTTCATCCAAGTCCATGCTTTCGTCTTTTTCGGCGATTGCGGCGGGCTTGGAAGCCACCTTCGGCATCTTCTTTGAAGCAATCGCTTTGGGAGCGATAGCCGCCTGCTTTGGAGGCGGTGCCGATGATGAGCTTGCTGCTGCAGCCTCCTCGTAGTCGCGCTTGGCGCGGAAAATGCGCTCTGGCTCACCCTCGCGGGCGGCTTCTTTGTGCTCGGCGACATAGAGCGGGAGGTTCTTCTTGCTGGTGTCGACGGCGGATAGCACACAATCGGGCGGCACATTGTCACGTGTGAGGACGCCGTCAGTCTCCGTGACGAAGAAGACACACCCAGCGGCGATTGCTCGCTGTGTATCTATCGTCAGCTCAATCGGCTGGTTGGAGCGCATTCCACTCTTGTAGTGGGTGTCGTCCAACTTGTATGGAGACAGGTAATTGTGTGACCTGTCCGACCTAGCGGAACCGGCGATCATGCCATCGCGGAGGATCCCCTTCATCCCCTTCTCGTTCGTGCGGTGGAAGAGCTTCGGGGGGGTATCCTCGCGGGAGAGTACGGTGACCCCCCTGACGCTGCTCTGCAGGTCGGCCTCGTACTCGGACAATCCGCTGTAGAACCTGGTCGCGAGGAAGAAGTCCGCGTCCGGGTTATTGCCGATGAGCTTGGAGTTGTGCCCTTGGGCCATTCTCACACGCACAGGGAATAGCGGCTGGCCCAGGGTGTCCTTCATGGGGACATCGATGCCCAAAAGCCTGATCCGTCCCTTGTTATCGGCTTTCGCTGCGCGTAGCAGCTGCCTCACGCCCCAGCGTGCATTCCGTGCCGTGTTGAAGACCTGGAGCAGAGTATCAACGTCTGTCCAGCACCCACGGTCAAAGATCAGTGCAGGGAAGTCCTCCATTTCGTGGCCACGTCACCGTGTTTGAAAGTCACGTGCCTGTCTCCCACAATGTCCTCCGGATTGAAGGGCTTCATCAAGTGCTTCGCACCGTTGTAGAAGTACTCATTCGGAAGCTCCGGCACAGTGGCAGCCCCTTGCGGGGCGCTTTCATCGATGAACATGAGCCTTCGCATGGCGTCCTCATCGCGGTCAGACTTCTTGGTCTTCTTGGGGGCCGCGGGCTCTATGACTCTGCCAATCGATGATGGGATGGGGTCGACTTGGTCACCCTCATCAACCAACTCCACCGTGCCCGGGGTATTGTAGGATACCTTACCATCTGCGTCCTGAGTGACAATGTCATTGACGCACTCCGCAACAGCACTCACATCAGTGGTTGCACCGATCCTTGGCACATCCTTGCGGATGGCTTTATCCATGGGTGGCCCCTCGGAGATCTTGGTGACGTCGGTTGCGTCAGCGGCATCCGGGGCTTCCCACATCTTGTCCTCCTGGGTAACCGGCATTGGCTTCGCCTGTTTCGGGTTCATGAGCTGATCCTTCTCCGCACGCCACTGCTGGAAGACATCCTCGAGCACCGGGTTGTTGGCACCGGAGCCAGTCTCGAAGTGCTCATAGCGAGCAAGCAGAGCCCTGACACAGGGTGTCATTTTCTGGGCAAGCCACTCACTCCTGCTTGCATTGAAAGTGGCATGCAAGTAGGTTTGGAATAACTCGCGGTTGCGAGGATCTTCACTGGCGTGAAAGCTGTCATACATTTCCAGCTTTTCGACCAAGGAGCTCGCAGTCTGCACTTGCAGACCGCGCTGTCTGAACTCCTCGAACATGGCGGCGTTGAAGTCGTTGTATGCTGAGTGGAGTTGGAACAAGTCCGCCTCCACCTGCCCAATCACCTTCACAAAACCAATGTCCGGCTCGCCCGCGAGGGCGGCTAAAACATCTGCTGCCCTTCTCACCTTCCGGGCGACGGTCTCCGTTGTGACATTGGGATCTCTGTAGGCGAGTCCCGGTCCAAGCCGCGTGGGAATGCAGCCCCACTGGCCGGAGATCTCGTTCCCACACCACCAGCAAATCACGTCGATGGTGTGGTCCGGATAGTTGGTCCGAAGCTCTTTGACGTGTTCCTCGACCTGCCAGACAATCCACGCCAAGGTTTTGCCCCAACACATAGTGTAGCGAGTCTGTGCCCATCCCAGCGTCATGCTTGCGATGTTCACTTCCGCATCCAAGTCGGCCTTGACGAACACTCCCCGTCTGTTCTTCTTGCAAAGTGCGGTGGAGCTGTCTGACAAGCCATCTGGCGCAGCGCCACACAGGTCGCGTCGGCATGGGTCAAAGACACCCCGGCCGCGCATTGTGTGGATACGCAGCTGTACGCCGACTCCAAGAGCTGGCTCTCGTGATCGGCGCCTAGCGAAATGATATCGTTGTTGAGGGCGGCGGATTGGAGAATGGTTTTCATGGCCTTGGTTACTCCAGCCCTGTCTGCTTCGGAGGTGTTGACCCTGCAGAACTCGTCGCTCACAACGATGGCTGCCATCCTGGGGATCGTAGAAGTCGCTTCGGGCAAGTCAGGAAGATCAGAGCCAGCTGAAGTTGCAATGGCAGGCGTGCACTTAAAGGAAGCCAAGATTTCATGGTCAAGGCTTGCAGTTTGTTGTGTGTTTGTGCACTCGAGCGATGTGCGTGCAAACGAATCATTTTCGAAACGAGAACACGGTTTGTTAGGCCTACCCCCCTCATCGAGAGGGGAACCAACACACCTCAGACAAACCATTGCCTTCTGAGCTGGGAGCTTCAACTGAGCCGTAGGCAAGAGGAACTGTGATTGATGTAGGAATTGCTTTTGCTTTTTGTTGAACTTCTGGTACCCCCCTGAAGAGTAGGCGATGAAGGAATGTCGTTCGCCAGTGTAGGGTTGTACACCATGTTTTGTTGAAGGATGCAACAGAGTAGGCTTGCGGTATGTATTGCAGTTGTAGCCTTTGTGGTCTTTGCCATGATCATCTGTGTATATTCCCGGTGGTCCCAACTGGCTCGCGCCCTCAATCCACAGTGTCCCCCCTGTATAGTTACCGAAGGAGAACGTCAGGTTGCACGATTCTTTCTGATTGTACTTATCCGTGTGGATGCGGGCCTTGCCATTGAAGTTGAACACGAACGAAGTCCATGTAAACCCTTTCGGAGATGATCGCTTAACAAATTCATTCACATACCTGCAAATCCATGGATAATGTTTTGTGCGATTGGTAATACCAAAGCACCCACCATGGACCCAAGCGCCGAATACCAAGTATTTGGATATCTTCTCAGAAGCCATAAGCGATCGCGGTTTTGCCAATGAAGCCTTAAGATTGGTACGTATGAGCCCAGCTAGCTTCTCGAAGGTCTTGAAGCTGTAATCGTTAGCCTCGAACGATTGTTTAGCAAAGTCCTCGACAATCTTTGCTGCATCCGGAGCTGCTGCTACCGAAACCTTGTTGTCGACCTTCGACTCGGGTTTGCACCCGGCTATGTTCGCGCTGGTTGTATGTCCAATAAGTTTCAAAGCATGCGTCCACTTGTTCTTTTCAGTGAAAGGCTTCGTGAATACATCCGCCACTTGTTCGGCTGTACCAACATTCAGTAGCTTGAAATGCCCAACCTCATATTGCTGCTTTAGCCATGAGAAACTCACCCTCTGTGTCCGATCAGTATGTCGTAGAACACCAGCTTGCCCTAGCAACAAAAGAGTGATAGTCGCCTGGTTATCCTCCATATGTCTAACCTCGAAACTTTCAGGAAGTTGGCCACAGAGGCCGTTGATGTCTGCGATTGACAACCCATCCGGTCTAGTGGACCCATAACGAATTTCGTCAAGTTCAGGATCAATGCGTGCAACAATCGAATCTACCCTCTCAGCCCTTGGCTCGGCCTTGCGGCCGGCATCTCCACGCCATAGGAAATACCACAAGCTCAGGCAAGGTAGACCTTCGGCACGTAAACCGTGGTTCGCCGCTACAACTTCGGACTCAGTAGAGCTCATTGTGATAGATGTTTGTTTCTTGCTGAAGGCATTGAGGGGAAAGTATGTGTTTGGTCCGACCAAAAACATCGCACATCCTGTAGTTGATTTTGAATCGAATTCGCCCGCAAAGTCGGAATCGCTGAACAACCAAAGTCTGCAATCCATTATGCTGTCACCTATGAAACCGCTCATGGTGACATCAAGCGAAGAGTTTATGTAGCAAACCAACCTGTGAAGTCCCAAATCGCAATCTGGACTCCACTTGGTCACCCTCGACGCCAAAGACTGCGTTGCCCTTAGAAGATCCCATCTGGCCATGCGAGCAGCGAACAAAATCTTCATTAATACCTTGCTAGCAATAGGTTGCAAACGCCCTGCCTTCTCTCCTTCGGAAGCTGTTGGTAAAGCCACACGTAGCTCATGGAAGGGGGTTGCAGCTGGTTTCAGGGTCTTACGCTCTACCTTAGCAAGCTCACAGTACCGATCAACGCAAGAATCAAGGAAGTCCTTCATGTCGTACGTGATGCGAGTGACTGGCTTGGTCATTGCACCGGGCTTCTCTTTCGTGTCTTGCGACAAGGTAACAAACTTGCTCTGCTTCGCCTCCTTTTTAGCCTCAGACTTGTTACGAACCGGCTTGCCCTTGCGGGCAGCTGCAACTGCCAGCTCGAAATCAGACTGTTCCCGGCCTGCGAGGTCGAAGTAGGTTTCGCCGTCCCACCATTCCTGAAGACAGCGATCGCGCATTTGATTGCAACTGTCAACAACAATTTCCTCCGACTCACCCTTGCGGGTGGCTTTAGCCACCACGGTGTATCGCCGAGGGCCAATCCCCGGGAACATTCTAGCATCATCCTCATTGGGGACATATAGTCTTTTGCGAGGATAACGGTGATGTCGGATTGCTATGAGATTCTCAGGGTCAATGTCCCAATAATCCTCTTTTCTAGCAGGAGTTGCAGCTGATGATTCGGGCTCAAACACGTGACGAAAAGGGTGTGCTGCTTGAGGTTGTGTTCTTCCTTGTGCATACACCCAAAGTATCTACCAATGACTTCCGGAAGATCCATATCAATGACGCTCGAGATCAAGTCCCATCCCTCTTTGATAGAGTTCTTAGGGCCAGCGAGCTTAAAGTCATCGACGTAAACCACTAAAAGCAGCTTCTTCTTCGGGTGGTAGAATACACTCTTCCAAATGTCAATCAATACTGCCTCGAAGCCGACTTTCTTCAACTCAGCTTCACAGTGATGTTCCCAAATCCCCCCTGAATCGGGGTGTCCGTAAAGTGCCAGTTTGAGTGGAACGACAGGATCTTTCATGCCCTGCCATGCCTTAGGCCAGCGATTGCGAGGCAACCGTACCCAAGTGGCAACTCCTTGGAACAAGGCTTGGGTGTATGCTTGCTTAGCATCGGCCTGCTGGATGACATAACCAGGTTGGGAGCCGAAGACGTCTAGGATCTTTCCTGCTTCCATAGATGCAGGACTGCTTGACATCTCCGCGAAGAGCGCGTGATCGGCGTTTTCATCAAGTACTTTGTTTCCCTGAAATACCGAACGTCCCTTATACTTACGATTAGGGTCACCTTCTTTCAGCTCGGCTCCCTTTAGGGTACCAATCTCAAAAACATTGCCAAAGTGCACCTTGGTTTGAGACTTCTTAGCTTCGTTGGCAACCGACTCGAACTCCCTGACTTTGCCTTGTACCCAGCAGCCCTTGTCAACCAATTTCTGCCATTCCTTGTCCATGGCAGCCTGCGCCTTAGGGTTTGTTGAAATCTCCTTAGACGACAGGACCTTGGCGACAACAGCATACATCTCATCTGCGATCTGGAAAAGCTTCTTGTCGTATAGCCCTTTAAGTCGTTCCCGATGTTCCTCGCTACACCCATGTAGGACTGGCATTGCAGGTACCACCTTTACAGCTTCACGGTACAGTGCCTCATTCTCCTCATGTAGCTTCTTCTCATGCTCTGCAATCGCTGTTGCTCTTTGTCTTTTCGACATAGTCTTCCATGCAGTATGATCGATAGCGTTGGGGCGGTTCTTGTTGTTCTTTTTGACCTGACATTCCCCACTCCACGCATAACCATACGGTGGTTCTTGCGCTGCTACTGCTGCGCTGGACTTCAGCTTCTGCTTCACAGAGAACGGAACATCATCAAGCAATGCTGCACGGGAATCAGACTTTGACTCACCCTTGCGGGTGGCTTCTTTCGCGTCCTTCGGCGGAGGATCTTTATCACGATCAGGACCAAATAGCTCTGGGAACATTTCATCCAGGTCTTCACTAAGCTGTTCCTGAATTGTGGCTTCATCGTATCCCCCCCCTTTCTCCAGAGGAGGATGCGGGTTTTGCTCATCGAGCACGTTGTGGTGTTGTGCATCAAGGCTTGGTGGTTTATCCAAGGCAGGCTCTTGCAACAAAGGAAACTTAAAGTCACCATCGGGTAGCTCCAGTCTCTTAGTGCGAAACACACGTAGGTCTTCGTTTTCCAACGCGGCTTCGATGTTGTGTAGGGGAGCAACAACGTACTCAAGCTTGAAGATAAAACCAGGTTGGATGTGATACCCAAGGAATATACCTTCAATCCCTGTGCCAGAAAACTTGGATCGTTCAGGCTTGCGTTGCTTCTTCGGGGCCCAATAGAGGACTTTCGCTCCAAAGGGAATGCGCATGCCGTTGAACTTTTCACCATACCTGATTTCCCACGGAATCTGACCATTGTCAATCCTCGCAGTGATGTTAAGACACATAGCATGATGTTGCGATGCAAGAGGCCAGTAGCGATCTGGAAGTCCTGATTGCACTAAATTGGCCCGTGTGCCTTCCAAAATGGTTCTGATTTCTCGCTCGATTGCGGCCTTGTTTTCGTTCACATACTCCCTAGAAGTGTTGTGACGAGCGCGAAGCTGTCTGGCCGCAAAGTCAAACTCCAACGCATTGTCGGAATATATAACCTTTACCTCATCATCTGTACCAAGGAAGTGCAACATGTCTTCATAGCACTGCTCACCAGACTTTGTCTTGGAAGGGTATACATATCTAAACTTAGAATACACGTCCTTCACAACATGAGCCACGGTTTCATCTTGGAACCCGTAATCCTTGGCATCAGCGGTCACGATGTGATCTACTGTGATGTGGTCACCGAACGATTTACTGTAGATTGTAGAGGATCCACCAGATTTCCGCGCCTGAGGCGCATACATCTTGGCCCTTTGGCAAATCGGGCAGAACGGGTTCTTTGGTCTATGGGTAAGTCGATGTTCCAAAGACACAGCCTCAGCCCTCAAGGAAGCTTCGTCCTTCTTAGACTTTGGCATGGTGCATGGCTCGACATCGCTGTCGGCTTGCGCCTCAACTTCCCCTTCAGGCAAAGCAAACAATGTGATAGTCGCAATAGTCCCTTCAGGTACTTCCCCATAGATACCGTCCAATTCGTCAATGTTGACTGAATCCTCCAACAAAGACCACACGTCATCCTTGAATCCCCAAGTAGTCCGGATTCTATACCTCGGGAACTTAGGAGCCGGTGTTCGAAACGTCTTTGGGAAATGAGCCACCTTAGCAGCGGGGCTGCCGTTGATGACCGTCCAACCTGCCTTTAGCAGTTGTCTCGTTTCCACCCCAGGAATGGGAGGAATGCAATTCGCCATCTTTTCGATGGGATCTTCTGCCGCGCCAGCTGGACCTTCAGGTTCATGTTCGTGCTCTCCCCTAGCTGGTGCGGCGTGCCCTTGCGGGCAGCTATTTACCGAAAACCCGAATCAGACTTGACAGAGGTCGGTGCAACCTTGCTGCCATCAGATTCTGAGGACTTTGCCGCTAAGCATGCCATCAATGGTCCTCGGTCGCCAAATACGGGGACATTGCCTCGGAGTTGGCAAATCATCTTCTGACCGTCTGGGCAAATGAAATATGGCGCCTCACCCGTTGGCCAGTGGAAAGAGAACCCCTGTTCCATGCACTTCTTTCCTACAGAGCAAACTGCAGGTGTGTTGGGGAGCTCAACGAACTGCAATGGGTTCCTCAATGACTCAATGTAGACCTCATGCTTGGTATCAGCGTCTACTGGTCCGTTAGCAGTGATCAAACTCACTGGGTTGGAAGCAACCTTCTTAGCCTTGCCCTTGAAATGGGCCTCCAAATCAGAGTGACTAATCAGATCTTCCTCGCTACCGGTGTCTGCGATGATTTCGAGGTTCTCACCTGTCACCGCCGCTGCAGCAAGTTGGGGCAGGGGAATTGCTTCTTTGCAGTGCGTGCAGAATCCTTCTCTACCCCGACACCTGTAGTTGCACTTGACCCGAACCTTAAGCTTCATCCCGTTCACTGCTGATTCCAAGTGACGGGCATTCTGCAAAGCTTCTTCGGTGTCCTCTGGAATTGATGGTGGGCATAGTTCCGCAGACTTGTACCTGAATTCGTACTTGTGCTTGGCTGGAACGAAGCTCCAACCTTCACCTTCAGGCGGAATGTCAATGATCTCTGGTCTTAGGAACTGGACCTTTCTGGTTCGGGGCTTTCCGGCAGGGCCCTTGCGGGCTGCTACTGCGTAGACTTTCCCAGCATCAGTCGATGGCTCACCCGTGAGGGTGGCTGTGAGGGAGAGACAGCATGCCGCTGGCTTATCCTCACTCTTTGGCCTCTTCTTACTGGGTCGCCTGCGCTTGCCGGAGGGCGATCTCTTCCCGTCCTTGCCAGCCTTATCGCCTTTGGCCGGGACAGAGGGGGCGGCATCCTTGTGCATGAATGGGCAATTCTTACCGTTCTTGCAGGTGCCTTTGGGGTAGAAGATGCAAGGAATCTTGGAAGTGTCCTTCTTATCCCCACCTTTACCGCCTTTACCTCCGCCTTTTCTCGAAGGGGTTCGTGGAGGTGTTCTGCCCCTTGTCTGTTCTGGAGTAGGCTTCACGTGCTTGTATGGGCACTTATCACCTCGTGGGCACTTCCCACGCTGGAAAGCGTAGCAGGGCTTGTCCTGGCTTCTGCCGCGAGGGGTGTTCGGGGTGTCGGAAGGAGCAGGGGCACCAAACCTAGCGCCGTGAGCTTTGGCGATTGCTGTCCGGTTTTTGCGAGTCCTATCTCTTGCCAACAGCTCTTTCACGCATTTGACCAAGTAGTCATAAGTGCGCTGTTCTGTTCCTTCCTTAGCCCTGTCGTAGACTTCCAGATCAAACTTGAGCTTGCTAGCGTTACGAAGCTGCCGAAGTAGAATATCTCTCAATATGTAGTCTCCTCGGGTTGATGGTTCAACCCCGCGATGACCGACTCCCAGTTGTGTATGAACGTGCTAAGGTCGTCACCGTTCAACTGCACCTTGAGAAGATCTTCCACAGAGTAGAGGGAACCTGCTTCTTCATTGGTCTTAAAGTAGTGTTCGAACATCAGTAGAACTTGTCTACCACGAACGGCCCTACCTGCAGCTGCCTCAGACTCTTTGTAGTTGATGATCTGTCGTCCAAGATCCCCTCTTGCGACCCTCGAAAGCGCCGAAAGGATCTTTGTGTCCAAAGTGAGGAATTTACCCGTGTCCCTCAACTTCTCCGAATCGGCGTCCCTGGAGTAAACCTCTTGAACCCATTTGAATGCCTCATCGGGTCTGTCCGATGCTGCCCGAACGGCCTCCCTAACCGTGATCTTCCAACTCCTGTAAGTCTCCGGGTTGGGGAAGTCGGGTAGCTTCACCGTTTCGGCTTCCTTAGCCTTGGGTTTGTCGTCGTCAGGCTTCTGGATAACCGACTTGAGTGCTTCAGCGAGAAGGACACTAGGCCACTAGGCTCTTTGTTTTCGGTAGTGTCGGCCGGTTCTCTGTTATCACTCTGTTCAGCAGCAGATACCACTACGCCGGGGGCCTTGGAATCATCATCCTCACCAATGTCATACCGTTGGGTCCTTCCCAAAACCGTCCGAAGCGACGCAGGAATTTCCCTGGGGTTCGGAAGGGTCGGAATCCATGAGTGACTAGGACCCTGAACAAGCGGCGCTGCGGCACCACCTTGCGGTGGGCTTGGTTGAAGCTTGGAGCTCTCACTGGGATCAACTTTCACCGGCACTGCACCACCTTGCGGTGGGCTACTCTCCGCTGTCGACAAGACAGTCCTGAGTGAGTCGACCTCAGCTATAAGCTCCGCATTCCGATCCTGCAGGTCGTCAACCAAGCTATCGTACTGCTGTGCCTCAGAGGTTAGCCTATGGTAGTATTCATTCTCTTCCCATTGAAGCTTTTCCTCAAACTCAGACCCTAAAAAGGCAATCATCTCACTGTGGTTTTCTTCGATGCTTGAGCGCAATTCCGCGAAACGGCGTTCATGCTGTCTGTTTTCCGCAGTGAGCGTGCGTGCTGCTGCTTCCAGCTCGGATCGATGTGCATCAAACTGCATGGCCATAGACCTTTCATCATGACTTTCCCTTTGTGCGCGTGCCAGCTGTGCCTGCAGCTCGTTGGCTGATTGTCGTTCTGCTCGGGCGATTGTCTCTAGCACTCGTACTTCGTTGTGTAGCTGTCCCACCAACAGGTGCGTGGATTGGCTCACAAATGCTAGCTGTTGACGATGATTCGCATCCGCAGTTGCCTCTAGGTGTGCAATGTATGCGTTGGCTTCGGCGTACACGTTGTCCAATGCAAATCGATGTCTTTGTTCCGCGCGAAGCTCCAAGGCACTTTGAATGCGGGGGTCATTCAAGAACAAGTTCACCTGAGTATTCTCCTGCAACAAATGCAAGAAGTACTGGTTCGCTTCCTGCTCCTGTCTACCACCAATACCACCGTCCACGTTGTTGCCCGTGGCCGTTGTGAACGGCACGATGTCCATTACGGAGCTAACTACGGCTGATAACCTGAAGTTTCCCAGGCTACCAGCTAGACACGGCTAGTTACCGGTAAGTCAACCCTGTGTGACCTTTTTCACGGGGGACTTGGGCCAAGTGCGTCGCGTACAGATGTAGCTAAGGACCATAGGAATAGCAATGGAGGCAGGGTAAAATCTACAAGCTCAACCCAACGCCACAGCTTGGTCTCCCAACACGGAACCATTCGGAGTAATACAACATTAGTGGATTGTCAGGATCAAGACAACCTTCACACGCTTCCTCACTAGCGTACTCACTAGTCACTAGCCATCTCGCTTGGGTCGACAAGACAAACAATCACTGCTTGGTCTACGGTTTACATTTTACAGTAGCCACGCTTCCCGGTATCCCCGTATCATCTGAATAATGAGGGTAACCCTTTCGCCGCTATGGAACATTGAGAAGTAGGATTCAGATCGAGCAAGGGCACAACTGCGGAACCAGGTTAGGATTGCGGGTTTGGGTGTATGTACCCGGAGGACAGAAGGATTGTCGGACCCAACATTTACCATGATGTCAGTTTCACACTGCACGGAACATCTGTTCAAGAACCCGCGGTGAGTATATAGATGAACAGCTACGTCGGAAGTGTGGGGTTTCAGGGTGCTTCTGCCCTGGTGTTGAGCTGCGGTGTTTGTGTGCTTCCTTTGCACTTCAACAAGCTACAGGGCCTCAAGCAACACAGTGAAATTTTCGCAGAACAATCACGATCAAACAACATGGTACCTGGCTAGCAAATCTCGCATTCTCACCCTGATCACGGTTAGCTCCACTGCGATGGCGAGAACGACGACCACGACGATGGTGACCACTGGCCATGATGATGCGATTGCTGCTCATGTTTCTGCTGCAATCGAGTACGACTGCTGTGACCACTGGACGACGAGCGCGTACCTCGACCAGTACTACCACCACAGCTGTCGCAGTAGTTACAGTTGTTGGGTCGTCGCCACCTGCTTGCTGAGACCCGATGCAAAACCGTTTTCAAAAGCCGTTACAAAGCCACTTGCAACCACCTCAAAAGCGAGCCCATATGAACTCTTTCTGCCTGAATTAATGCCGGAGGTGCATGGACCCTGAAGGCGGGAGCCTTCAACCCAAGTTCCCCGAGCCCCCAACCCGCCTCGGCTGCCGTCACCCCGCCCCAGACGGGGAGGGGGAAATGCTTCCGATGTTTTCTTCCCAGCTGTGAGCCAAAGGTTCAAAGATCCAGCATCTGGGATATTCTGGGGTTGTAGGGTGGTTGCAAGGGCTCGAATGTTCGCGGATTCACAGTGTGGGTTGATGCGTCATCGAAGGAGGCTTTGCAAGGCTGCTTTTTTCGGAAACCGGCTGCTGCTGCACCACCACGACAGGCTTATCGGTACCTCGACTACTGCAAGAGGCACTACTCTTTGCCTTCCAACTTTCCAACACGCTGACAACCAGGTTCAGGGCCTGGAGCTACGGCCAGAGGCCTTCAGTTTAGAAGGATCCAAACCTCCACCCCAGAGTAGACTGGAGTGCTTGACGCGTCTGGCGGAAAGGCTCGAAGCCGGAGCTGAGAGGTATCGTTCATACTGCATGATGCTCGGCGTCATTGTAACCCTCATTTCCGTCATCATCTTGAAAAAAGACTGTTAATAACTGACAATTCCTGCAATCAATGGCTTTGCAAGCTCTTGAAGGTTGGTTTCGCCGGGGCTCACATGTGGTCAAATGTCATCTGGCCGATCTTGAACGAAACAACAACACCCATAAACTTTACACCACCCCATGGCTGTAATCCCGCCCGAATATCAGCAGAATAGAATAGACCCTCGAAATCGAAACATTCATTCCACATTTTGATGAGGGATTGCTCCACTTAGGACTTCGGAGGTAGCACTCAGAACCCTAAATCCCAAACCCTCAACCCGCTTTCAGAACTTCCGCCTGACTTGAAGGTGTAGAGTGGACCTGAGTGGTGTGCTTGCTCAGGTCTTGCGACCAAGGCCACAGAACCACAAGACCTCAAAGACCCCAATCCTCCTTCTCCCAGGCCAGCGCAGCAGCAGTGGTAATAGCAGTACTTCTTATCGTCGCATGTGGTAGTGGTAGTGGTAGCGGTAGTGGTAGTCGTCGTCGCCGTCGGAGCAGTAGCAGTGGCGGTAGGAGTAGCAGTAGCAGTAGCAGTAGCAGTAGCAGTAGCAGTAGCAGTAGCAGTAGCAGTAGCAGTAGCAGTAGTAGTAGTAGTAGTAGTAGTAGTAGTAGTAGTAGTAGTAGTAGTAGTAGTAGTCGTAGTCGTAGTCGTAGTCGAGTCGCAGTCCTCCTGTTGCCAGGCCAGTGCAGCAGCTGCAGCAGCAGCAGCAGCAGCAGCAGCAGCAGCACTGGTAATAGTAGCTTAGCGCTTGTAGTCGTCACGTGTGCGGCAGTGGTAGTGGTATGTAATGCTAGTGGTAGTGGTAGCCGTCGCAGTCGTACCAGTAGTAGTAGCAGCAGTATGAGTAGCAGCAGCAGCAGCAGCAGCAGGAGCGGCAGTGGTAGTAGTAGTAGTCGTCGTCGTAGTACTAGTACTAGCACCAGCACCAGCACCAGCACTAGCACTAGCACTAGCACCAGCACCAGTAATATTGGATTGTGAGGATCAGGAGCACTTTGGGAGACTATGCTGAGTCTGAGAAGTCAAGCGACTTCCCAGGAGGCTGCAAGCCCCAAGCAGGGTTTGGGGTGTAGGGTTCTCCGGTTCGGGGGTTCAGGGTTGGGGTTTCTGGGTTCAGGCCGTTAGGGTTTCTTGTTCAGTGGGATTAGGGTCAAGACCCCACGACAAGTGTCGCATTAAACTTCCATGAGAATCCTCTGCAACCCCCAAAACCATGAAGTCCTTCAGCCCTCCGCGAAAAGCAAACATCTTGACTTCTTTGGGATCCACACGCTCGCCATCCGGCCCTTGTATCCCATCATCTCGGAACTCCTGCTCTGTGGTTTCATTTCTGTTCATTCAGGCCTTTAGGGGTGTTGGCATTGGTGGTGGTGGTGGTGGTGGTGGTGGTGGTGGTGGTGGTGGTGGTGGTGGTGGTGGTGGTGGTGGTGGTGGTGGTGGTGGTGGTGGTGGTGGTGGTGGTGGTGGTGGTGGTGGTGGTGGTGGTGGTGGTGGTGGTGGTCGCCCTTGCTCGATTTCTATGGTTGCGGGGTCTACCTGACCTTCATTGGCAGCACCGCTGTTGGATAAGCCTTCTCATGGTTGGCTATGGTCCCTTAACAAGCAACATGTTAGGGGGTTTACAGCTTGCGGTCTTTGTAGGCTTAGGATGGCTGAGGGTTTGGGCAATCAACCAAGTAAGGGCACGTGACGATTTGAGCGATGTAGGCTTTACGATGCTTAAGGAGTTGACGAGTTCTGAGTCCGGTCCAGGGGAACTTTCAAGCGGGACTCAACCCAATCTCAAGTCGCACCCACGAAGAAGAAACAAAGGTCGTGGCGTCGTTGATGAGGCTTTGAGACCATAATTGCTTTTTTAGGCCAAGATTCAAATCCGTTCCACTCTTCAGATTAGATCCTGGCACAGAACCGGGCCTGCGTAGAGTCTAAAGTTTCGGTTTCGGGTCTGGGATTTACCATTTTGTCTTACTGACTTTGCGGAAGACTGGACTCTTGGGTGGTTTTGCTGTTCGTGTGACTTTTTGAGAACGGGTTGACACTTTGGAGGTCTCTGAAGCAAGGGATGCTAGTTCATAGAACCCCAAATGTGAAGCCCCAAAGCTTGAAGGTGCAGGGCTTCCCGTCCTCGAGCTCTCGAGCGAAATAGCTCTCCGACATGACCTGGCATTGGCCCAAGGTCCTACGTTACTTTCGGCCCATGTAATTCCGGAAAGATATATTCATCACCAGAGGCAGCAAAGTCGAGTGCATCTGGAGAGCCCCAAACGCAAGCCGCTAAAAATGCAGCCAAGTGGCATCATCATGCAGAGCACTGTCCTCGCCAGATTATGGTTCTCATACGGCAAAATCCATGAACCTGAAGCGCGAACCCACAGCCCCAAACCATACACCGCTTCAAGCGTGTAATTATGCCTAAAACCCTGAACGGTAACTCACTGCCTTCGAGTCTGACAGAACCTGTGCAAGCCCAGGGCCCTTAAGAACCGCGGCTGTGCAGCCGGAAGCCTGCGCGAATAGGAAGCCTTCTGAGCGCTCGAGCAGAATCTCTGGGCTTTGTCTCTCAGTCTTCATTACATCCGACCCTGAGGACCGAGTGTGCTATCTTGAGTTTTGGGGCAAGGCTTCTAGAAACTTTGCTGTGAGGCTGCAAAGTGAGGTACTCCATGGCTTACGGCTTTCGACAGAGCTTTCAGGCCCGATGCCAAAGACTCCACCTTCCCAAGAGGCCCAATCGCTGTCTTAGGCAAGACCCCTGACTCATGAACACAGCTCAGATGAAAGACTACTACTAAGACCCCGCTACAAGTATCATCCTTATTCACAGAGGAGGGTCAACAATCACAACTCTAATCGGTGACGGCATAGCCCCAAACCAATCCCCGCCCCGAAAAATCGACACAAAGAAGTGTAGATGAAGAACTGCATCGCTTAAGCCACCGGGCAAGGACGAGCAAATCAAGGCCACTGCCGTAAACCCCAAATCCTAAACCCTAAATCCCGATCAACCCATGTCAACACTCAGCATGTCCTCGATGTCCTTCTGCAGCACTGCCGCTGGTGGTTGCAGTTCGACCTTTTCGAGCATCACCTGCAACACTTCTTGATTGTTCTCAACCCTTTCGGAACCCCCCTAACTCTAAACCCTAAATCCAAACCCTAAGCCCGTCCTATTTTCCAAACCCTAAGCCCCTCCTAATAAACGGGGTGTTAGAAGCGGGTGTTGAGAAGATTAGAGTTTCCGGTTGGTGGTTCTGCCGTGTTTTTCGAGTGCTCCGGTCGGAGGTCGGGGATCTGTAGAGTTCTTTACAGGAATTCATTGCAGGAGAGTCTCTACACCCAAAACCAAAACCCGAAGCCCGAATATGTGGGGGATGTGAGGCAGGACTTTTCTCGTAAGCTGTAATTCATTCTCGGGCTTGCTTCAAGCTTCGGGCCTCCGAATGGGTGTCTTGCCCTTTGTGTCGGGTTCTAGATTTGTGTCGAAGTTTTGGGTAAAGGTGCCCGCCCGGAAACATGCGAGGCCTTGGAGGGAATTTTGAAGTATGTGTGCTTAGGGTGTGCTGGATAGAGATGGCTGTCTTTTCGGATCCCAAGACGCAGAAGACAAGGTGTACGGGCTGTCTGCACAACACGTACATACGGATACGTGTAGGTACGTCTAGAGATATATGTATACATACGTACACATATGGCTATAATGACAGCTACGATGAACTGAATAGAAGAGCGAAGCCCAAGACGGCACGAGGCCTCCTTTAAGGTGTTCGGCTCGTACTCTCGCATTGCATCTGGCCTCAGCACAAGTCAAACTTCGGGTTGAGATCTCTCCTCACTTATGCACACACATACATGTATGTACATGCATCACAGAGATACATCACATACATTCATACCTGCATGCATGCATGCATGCATGCCATACCAACACATAATAAGACATAGCAAAACATGGCATGACATAACATGGCACAGCATGCCAATACATGCTTACAGACATGCATGCATACATACAGACAGAAAGAACCAAGGTAAATGATGGTGGCTTTGACGCCAAAGTGCACGGCCGGCAAACTGGTAGGAGACTACTAGTCTAACAATGCTGGTACGACTGTTAGGACTAACTCACTATTTAGGTCGATGCGGCAGTGCGACGGCTACGACGAGTAGGACAAGTACGAAATGGCACGACAAGCACAAAAAGCTCTATTAGTACTGCTAGTGCGACCAGCATTCGGGGGCGTACCAATACTACTAACCACTACTACTGATACCACCCACACTACCACTACTCATTTTCTTATGTAAAGCTGATCTTACTCTGCTTATTTCCTTTGTCAATAGTAAATGGTCACGTCGGGTATGCGGGCTTCTGCCACAGTTGTTGATCTTGCAGTCTTCTTCTCAACACAAGTGTCTTTTTGTTGGATAGTCTGATGAATTGGTGAAAGGCGCTGGTACTACTAATGTTGGTTATTCTGGTGGTTGATATTGCTGCTAAGGTCATCTCATCTGATTCGAAGGATGCCGGGGATTAGAGTGTTGAGTAACGTAGTCAGGAAATGTTGAAGTTGAGCTTTCGAGGTCTGATGGCAATTGTTAAGCAGGAGCACTAGTTCTGCTCAGGACTCCTATGGGTGCTCACCAAAAAACTACTTATACAACCGAAAAAAAAGCATCCCGAGAGCCTAGACCTTCTGCTGTGTCTTTCTGCACTGAGCCCACTCCAGAGCCGGAAGACCAGCCCTGCCATAGGCCCTGGGCCACCCACAGGTACGAGTAAGTGCCCGGCGGTTTGCCCAAGCATTTTGCCTGACCTTTGGGGACGATGCGCAACAATGGCAGCCCACTTGAAGTCTTTGGACTAAAGGCAAGCGCCTGTTAGCTGCTTGCCTTCATTACTTGCAAGCGACTGCGAACGATGGCATTCAAGAGAAGATTAGAAGACTGCTCAGAACCCCGGAACGTTACTAGTCGGAGTGCCAATTCCCTATATCGCAGAAATGATGATACAGGCTTCACAAAAAAACAGTGCATTCTGCGAATGCTCACATGCGATCAGCATAGGGTCAGCCCAGCTAACTCAAACGGCACAAGGGCGTGAGAATCCGGAACATCCCAAACCAATCATCCCGACGATGAAAGGGCTGTAGCCCGTAGCTCGCAAGCTTTTAGAAACCACAGAGTCGCGGTCTTAGGGTTTGAGGGTTGTCGGTTCTCCGTTTGGAGTAGTGTTATTGGGGGTTCCTATCGGTGATTGGGCACCCAGCGCTCTGATACGGCTGATTGACAGCGATTCATGGCAGCATCGTTGCTGGTTTCGTGGGTAGCGGACTGCGGGTTCTGAGAACTGTAAAAGCCAGGGCCTGCAGAGAAATAGAAGGAAACAATGAGGAGTGCAAGCATTCTAACAATTCAACCAATAGACCCCCCGCGAATTGCACAGACACTGCTTCCCTGGAACACACGGACAAGAATTATATTCGGGGGAAACGATTGCCGCATGATTGCTACCATTCTCCGCGCGATTGCCGGACAAAACACTTATTTTGCGGGACGCCCTGGGCCTGAAACGTTGGAACAAACAGCATGAGCGGCCTTAAGTCAGGAGCTGAGAAGTTGAAGGATTTGACCAACGAAAACCCAAACCGACGAGGACGGGATCCCAGTCAAAGCTGCAAAAGACCTCAGAGACTTCAGACACTCTGGGTCGGGTCATGTTGGGGTCCAGGGTCCCTGAAACTCTCGACTAGCTGATCCCCCGCCAGCACAGGGATGGGCTGACCAGAGGAAAGCTATTCAGACCTTCTTGGGCATGGATTGAAACCGTTCGTCGACATCTCAACGCAATCGAACTGCTGATGACAGTTGTACGAGTTTGGGGCAGGGAGTTTAGGACTTGAGCTGTAGGGTCCGTGATGCACTCAGCCTCACTTTCGCCAACTAGAATACTTCGCTGCAGGGTCGTGATCTTATTAACAATGTAACGAGCACAAACTGTGTTAGGCTCCTGCAAAAGAGTTGGGATCCAGACTCAGAGCAACTGTCCAAGGCTCCGGCAAGCGTCCTTGCATGATGCGGGGCAGCTCTTGTCGCAGGATGTGGTGGAGCCCATGGTCAACGCTGAGCCCCTATTGTAAGCGCTACTGCCGGAGGTTCTGGTAGGTTGAGCTAACCCTGATATTTATGGCTGGTGGCGATTGCTGCTTCATTCATATCTCGGGTCGTATGGGCTAATGCTGCCAGCATTCTGCCCATCCCTGCTGCCATGCTGCGGGATGAACAGTAGAGTTGAATAGGCTTTGTGCTTCTTAGACCTGAGTCAGTGGAGACTGAGGGAGCCACAGGGCGGCCGTGGCACTCGTGGTGAATCGCTTAGAAACTACGCCTTGTCTTCTCTGAAGACGCATGAACATCATGCAGGGCTAGACTCTCAACTCTTACTGCCGAGTCCTCAACCCGAAACCCCAGACCTTCAACCCTAAACTCTAAACCCCAAGCCGTCACCTCTGCGCCCTAGCTTCTTGATCTGGACTTCAGGCTTTGAGGTTTTCACGTGCAAGGCAAACCTCATAAGCAACAAACCCCACAGCGCCGAAAATAATGTGAAAACCCACACCTGCGGGCTTAGGGGTTTATAAAGATGAACTGTAAAATCTTCGAGGCTTTGGGTGTCGATCTCTAAGATGATTCAACCAGCCATTCTGCAGGTGTGTCTTGCAATTCGTGTCCCCTGTCAGGTAATTCGGCCAAGCGATTGGTAACAGTTTAGGGTTTCGAGTTTAGCGGAGTTCTGTTCCTGGCTGCCGTAGCCCTAAACCCCAAGCCCTAAACTGTAGCCTGAAAGAATGCGTTGCGTAACGCTTTGGGCCCCCAAAAAACATACTGCACAAGACTTCGGGGCTATCCTGAGCCTTCGGGATACGGTGAATGAAGTTTCCCAGGTCTACAGCTAGACACGGCTAGATACCGTTAAATCAACCCTGGCGGTCTTTTTACCGTGTGGGGACTTGAGCCCATAGTGCGTCGCGTAAAGGATCAGCTAAGGACATCAAAAGTAGTTGTGGAGGCAGGGTAAAATCTACACCCCCCTTGCCGTGATGCTCCAGCCAAGGCGCTATCATACACTGGCTCCAGGTTGCCCCGGGCTAAAGTGAAAAGATTTTGAGGGTGCCAAAGCGAGCATTTATAAAACACGACTAGGGAAGCCCTGCATGTCCAAAGCATGATGGGAACCAAAAGCAAACCAGCAATCAACACCCGTGGGAGCGGTTCCATGCGTCCCACTCGGCTTGCGAAAATTGGCCGCGACGCTGACGGTAATACTCGTCCCATTGGGCTTGAGTATACCCGCGGTAGAGAGGATCTGTCTGGCGCGTTTGGGAGTAGCGGTTGCGAGCCGCGATTTGGCGGTTCTGCTCAGCCAGACGCTCCGTTTCCTGAGTTTGGCCCTCAGCACTGTACTGGCTGTCGTTGATGATCTGGGCCAACTCGCCGATGATCCCCTCCACCGTTTCGGAGTCCACCCGAACCTCGCCGTCAAAGGTAAGGATGCGCCTGGCGGCTTGGTTCACTGCCGCGATCTCGGCGAATAGCCTCGGCGTGAGGAAAGCGCCCATATACGTGATCCCGATCGGCACATCGGTGGTTGTGTCGATGAGCCGCAGGGATCGCAAAGGCTCCACTTCGCAGTGGGCGAAGAAGACCAGCTTGGCCGGTGCGGTTCCCGACGCCGCTCCTCCAGAAGAGTTATGTGCACCAGCACGAAGGTGGCGCTGCTCCTCGGAGCGACCAGGGTCCGGAAGGACAGCGGAAGAGAGATGGTCAAACTTCTGCATATCTTCCAAGCTACGGCCTTCCTGCATCATCCTCAGCCTGAACTGTTCGTCGCCCTCGAAGCGCTCGGACACCGAAGCGAAATTCAGCTTGGCAGAACGCTGTCGGCGGTCCTTGGCGTCCCTGATAATGGCCGCCTCGGCACTCATCTGTCCGCGCTTCTTAGAGCCCTCGCCCATGCCACGGAGGTCAAATTTCCCAGGTCTACAGCTAGACACGGCTATAGATACCGTTAAGTCAACCCTGGCGGTCTTTTTACCGTGTGGGGACTTGAGCCCATAGTGCGTCGCGTAAAGGATCAGCTAAGGACATCAAGAGTAGTTGTGGAGGCAGGGTAAAATCTACAGTGAAAGCAGAGGCCTTAGTGATTAAAATAGGGCCTAAATAGGGACTATAGATGAAGTTGTAACTTGCACACTACCCTAAGCCATAAATCCTGTGCAACATAATTCCAACGTTTGATTAGCAAAACCGGTGTGCTGCAAGCTACATCAAAACCTTGCTTTACCCTGAACGTGTGGTCTGCGGATACATGCGAAACAGAATCAACCAGCCGACTCTCCCGGAATTGCTTGGGGGCTTCGGGAACCTGCGAGGTGCCAAAGCCAAGCTGAGGGTTTGGGGTTTGGGGGGCTCAAGGAGTCTAGGGTCTCTGGTGTGCGGTAACATGGGGTTTAGTTTCGGGCCTGGGGTGCGGTTTAGGGCTCAGTGTTGAGTTTGGAATTTGGTTCGGGCTTCGGGTTGTTTTGGGGTGCAGTTTAGTCTTCACGGCTTGGGATTCGTTCAGGGTTCACTTTGGTTTTAGTTCAGGGTTCAGCTTGGGATCATCGTTCAGTGTTCAGGTTGTTGAGGGTTTAGTTCAGGATTAGGACGATATCTTGCAGCCATCAGGCTGCGTGATGATGCCAGCAATACCGATTTAGGTCTTAGGCTTAGGATAAGGTTTAGGACTCTAGGACGTTTAGGACTTCAGGACATATCCCGCTACAGGTGCTAGAGGATTTAAACAGGACTCGAGCGCTCAACTTCTCGAATACTCCATACTTCTATCGAAAGACCTACGGACCTAAACCCGCAACCCGAAACCCACAGCCGTTTAAATCCTAAACTGAGAACTCTCCAAAGTCTTGAAAACCTGAGCGCGGCCGTCTTTGTTCATGGTCGCAGGGCGGGTCGAGGGTCTGATGTGGCAGGGCAGGCAAGCCTTTTAAAATGAGAGGTCCCATGGCAAGGTCTATAGTATAAAAACTGAGCAAGAGTCCCCATCGCCTTAAGTCCCCAAGCATTCAAAGGATGCATGCTATGGGGTTTCAACTCTAGAAGGGTTTCGTCATCTAGTTAAAGTATAATATAGACTGAGGATACTTGTCGGTAACAAACATAATCATGTAAGCAGGCTGAAAAAACTTTCCGTGGGACAAGGATGCTAGTCCATGTCAGGGTTTGGGCTTTAGGTTCGGAGCAATGCATGGGGTTCTGTTGAAAATGCCGATAATACGATCATGAAATCAAGAATCCAAGGCCCTTTCTTGATAGAGAAATGCCCTACAAACTATGTTCTATTGTTCGGGCGGTGTGGGCTTTAGTCGGATCTAGGGTTCCAGGGGTTTTACGGTGCCCGGTTTGAAAAGCTAGGGTTGACACCTTACGGGCCTACGCTGAATCCTGAACCAAAGTGTATTTAGTACTGGCTTAAGGTTTCAAGATGTTTCAAGCCACATCCTAGCGGTAGGAGAGACCTCCCAAAGAATCCCTGCCCCGATAGGGTTCTCCTTCAACGATCAAAACCAGATTCCGGTCCGGACCAAGGGGACGTGGTACACTGCGGGAAGATGACAACATGTCTGACCAACAGCATGTACTGTCGTTACTTTCTGACGCAAGGGCAGACATACAGAGTCATATGCAGGGCAGCTTCCATGAAGTTGTCAGAACTTTGGGCTTCCCTTTTTGAAATCTGGTTTGGGGTTGAGAAGGAACCCAACTCCATAAACAAAAATGTGGTGACCTTGGACAAAAACAAAACGTAAGGAGTCAGAAATGGAAGTACATGCTTTAGGATGTAGGGCTGAGGGTTAATGTTTGTAGCAAGATCTCGCAAGCTCTGAACCGCAGTGTGTCCCGCGTGCTGATGTAGACGTCCGATTAGCTGAAGAAGCCGGCGCTTGTCAAGTCAATCGGAGCATGAAGATGTTCAGGGTTTAGCGTTTAGTGTCAGAGTTCTAGAGCCTTGTGGCTGTGAGTTTGAGGATGGTCCATCCTGGTAGCATCAAGATAAGGGCAGGAAAATTGCGATCTGTTTGATGCTGACAGCAATAGCTATCGACTATCGACAATGCCATGCTGGAAGCAAGCAGCTGTCAAGACTAACTTTACCAAAAACGAACGGGCATGCGGTAGCAGCCTAGTGGCAGCGTGAGTGGCACCTTAATCATGATAATCCGAGGTGTCGTGATTTAGAGAACCCTTCTTATGCAGTGACGATGCCATTCTATAACCCGGGAATAGGGATGATACGGCGTATCCAGGTGTGGAAGATGCAGGAGCTCGGGCGAAAAGCATCCTGATGTCTGCAAAGGGGCACAAGGTAGCAGCGGTCTGTGCAACAACCTGCAGACCAAACCATAGAGCCCGAAGCCTAAACCACAACTGAGCCCTGGATGGTTGTGCGCTGAGATTCGAGGCTGAAACACTCGGTGTTTGCTGGTTTGGCACTGGCAAGCGGCGCAAAGTCGACCCGAAACCTCCACCGCCCAGCGATCTCACTGCAATGTGGCATGGCCTCCCATGACGACAGATTTACCCGTAGTAGTAGTAGTTGTTGTTGCTGCTGTTGATGTTGCTTTGGTAGTAGTCGTATCGTAGTCAAAGCTGTAGCAGTCGCAGCAGTAGCAGTAGCAGCAGGACAGTAGGAGTAGCAGCGACAGGAGCAGCAGCAGTAGGAGTCCTCGTCGAAATAGCATCAGCAGCAGCATGACCAGCAGCAGCAGCAGGAGGAGAAGTAGTAGTAGTAGTAGTAGTAGTAGTAGTAGTAGTAGTAGTAGTAGTAGTAGGCGTCGTCGTCGTAACGGTAGTGGTAGCGGTAGTGGAAGTGGTCATGGTGGTGGTGGTAGTAGTCGTGGTGGTGGTGGTGGTGGTGACGGCAGTGGTAGTGGTAGCGGCAGTGGTAGTGGTAGCGGCAGTAGTAATAGTAGCCGTCGTTGTAGCAGCAGCAGGGTAGTAGTAGTCTTCGTGGTAGTACTCGTACCAATACCAGCAAAAGTAACAATACCGGTACGAGTACTAGTTGCAGCACTGGCAGAAGTCGTCGCCGTCGTTGTAGGAGGAGCCGTACCATCAGTAGTAGCAGTAGCTGTGGGTAGGAGTAGTCGTAGTCGTAGTGGTCGTCGCCATGGTCATGGTAGTGGAAGTGGTAGTGACGTTAGTAGTTGTAGCAGCAGCAGCAGCAGTAGCAGCATCAGCAGCGAATGCTTCTGTTTCGAGCTTTTCGAGGCGAGCAGCCAAGAGCTGCACGTGTTACTCCAAACCAGCGATCCAGCCACCAGCATCCTTGAGCCTACAATAGCAATGACCTTGATTGAGCGAAAAGCGATGTTACAAATACTGAGGCTCATCCTGAAGTTAATACCACGAGTACTACGTAGTCACTAGTATCACTAGTACTCGTACATCCCAAGCGGAGGAATTTGACATAAGCATAGGTTCGAGCACCAGCAAACCCTGCACAAAATCCTCAATCCAAGCCCCAATCTCAAAGCTCCACACCCCGAGCCCTGAACCCAATACTAAACCAGCCTACCTCACCATTATTGAAATCCCGGCGCGCCTCCGCTCGCGCTAGCGGTAAATCCAGGTGCACGTAGATCGCTCCAGGCTGTAGGAGGAGCCAGGGTTTTGCGAGTTTTAGGACTTGTCGTATAAGGGCTTGGGTTGAAATGTCGTGCAGGGAGGCCGGTTGCACACCTGGCTGCTGCAGCTTTGAATGGGAATCTACTCGGTGTCCATGCAACGGGCACACGGAAGGGCAGATAAACGGACAGACACGACATGCTTCATTCCGCTGTGATACGCAATGCTAAACTACAACTGCCTCAAACTTTCTCTACACTAGCCATCCTCCATGTGGCTCATCCTACACCATATACTGCTTCTCCGTGTTACACCGTAGACGTCACACAGGACCCTGTAGACCACAGGCCCTAAACCCAAAACCCCAGCCGTAAGGCTGTAGACTCTGGAACCAAACCCAAAGTTGAACAAAAGCTTGCTTCATTGATTTGTTCATGTGGTTGTGTATATATTTGCTTGTCACCTAGAATATGGGGAAAAAAGAGTCTTTAATACACGTATATATGTACATAATATAGATATATATATATATATATATATATATGTACATACATACACACATATTATGTAGGTGTAGCCATCAGCCCTCGCTTTCATGCAGCCGAGCCATCAGTTTGCCTGGCTCCTGCCTTGAAAGAGAGTCGAAAAAATGAAGCTAAGCGGAGGACGGCCCATGCCAGAGTGACCCGTCGTGGGGGTTTCGGGTTTCGGGTTAGATTAGAGTTCAGGGACGGGGCTTAGGGTTGTTGGATTAAGGTTTCGAGCTTAGTGTTTAGAAGGTGCAATGCGGCTGTGTGTTATGCAAGGGCTTTTCGGGCTTTGGATTGGGTTTGGTCCGGTGGGTTGTGGGGCGTAGACCAATCGCCAATCGATGTATGCGGGCTATCCTGGACGACTGCTCTTGACCAGGCCAGAGACCCAAGTCAAGACATGTACGCCGGACGGAATGAAACATCGGCTCTGGGGTCTTGTGCGGTCTTGTTTGCAGGCTTGATGCTGGCGGCTTAAAGTCTACGAACTTCGATTGATAAGACATGACATATTGCAATAGTCTTAAATCATGGTGGGGATCGCCCTCAACCCTGAACCCTAAACTTACGACACCCGCACTTGGGGGAATACTGGAGTCTCTAGGGATCGGCTTCCAGTGAGAGATTTGGGGTTTCGGTTGAGGGTTAGTTTTGTGTCAAAGCCCTTTGTTTCAGGAGAGGCTTTCGGTTTCAGGGGGGCAGGATCTTAGAGCTTAGGGTTTGAGGGTCCAGGGCGCTCAGTCAGGGCTTTTGGGGACCGTCTTCCTGTATGAGTCCCGGTGTTGAAAAATTCTCAGATC